TTATGTAAGCATTTATTGCTTTACCTATCTTTGATGGATATCTAAGCAAGTTAGAATCTTTCACATTCCTTTCAGTTTTATGAAGAGCATACAAGATGTTGATGTGACGTTGATATTGTGCAGGAGCTCAACTCACAGCGAAAATTACTAAATTTATGACTCTTTAAAGTAAACAATTTAGATACAAGAAAGACAAAAACTGAATAATAATTTTTGCAATGCAGACGCAGCGAAATGAAAGCGAAAAAATGTTGTAAATTCCCAGTGAATAATGTCTGCAATAATCATAAATATTGTTTTTTCGATTGTGGAGTCATTTATTGTATTAATTTTGTAAAATACCCTTGGGTTATTGGTATTCGAAAGGTAATTTCAGTGGTTATTTATGACGGTGTAAAAAGCTGATCGATATCTCTATTATAAAAATTCAACAAAGAACAAAAAACTTCTGCACTTTTCCTAATAAGTAGTAACACCAAGAAAAGACACATTTTTAATGTCTAAATAGATTTCTTTAGAAAGTAATAATAGTGAAGATAATATAGATCATAGCTAAATATAACATTTTCTAATAAACCATTAATTAAACAAAAAACAAAGTTCTGGATTTTATATATTATAATAATCATTTCGACACAAAAAATAGTAAATAAATATTTGTTTATTCGGCCACTGTGGTACCCTTTTTTCCCATTTAATTGTTTAATTAAATGATCCATTAAACATTCTCTAAAAAGTGCTGTTTTAATTTAACTTTGGTCATAGCTTTGGTCCAATGAATGAAATATGAGCCACAAAAGCTTTTACCTTTGTTTAAAGTGTTTTATTCATAACTTTGATTGATACAATTTCAGTTTCACAGTCACAAATGAATTTCTAACAACGTGAAGAACGGGAAGAATTGGAGTACAGGAAACAACATGTAATGAAATAGCATGTAATTATGTATTACCTACCTCACATTACCTTGCAATAATTGTAATTTGATTCTATCATTAACGTTACAAGAAATCTGATATGAACGTGACCTTAACGTCAAGCCTAACACAACTTTTAATAAAATAAAAATTAAAACAAAGAAAACATTATGTGAGAATGAAATATTTGCATAAAGATTAAATTATCGAACTAGTTTGAGTAGGAAATGTTATTTTAATGGTCTTTTATTCAATAAAAAATGAAATGGGATCTGAAAGCAGTTTAATAGTAAAATTAAAATTATTAAAGCTAGACTACGTGACTACATTATCAAGTTAACCCCACATAATAATTAAGTTATCAGTCAATACTGGAATAAAAATGATTTGCGGGGCAATGTGCAGGAATGTTCAATACATGCCTTCAATTAATAAATTATTCAGAAATTTATAATCGAATATCAGCACAACAATGGAGAAATAACAATTTACTGGAATGGAGCTGATAAGAGTTGGTTGTTTATGATGTATGCGAGGGACACCCAAAGCGGCATTAATTGCCCCGTTTGCAAAATCAAAGTACTCACCTGTAGAATTTCGGCGTCAACAAATCAATTCTTGATCCGTCCCAATGTTAAATAAAACCAAAGTAAAACAGTCATTTATCCTCTGCGCCTTGAACGAATTTATTGTTTAGTCATTACTGGGGACCTTGAGGGCGTAATGAGTCCTTATTAAGTAAAGTAAGTCAAACGCCGAAGGGCCGAGTTAGGGTTCAATCCCCTTGCCGTCGTAATGTAAGCATGACATAACTGTTCCATATCTCCATTCAAATTTGGGCACGAAAACACTCGCCAAGCACATTTCGGCACCGTCCTGCGAAGGAAAGTCCGGGTGAATTCCGGGAGCGTTTCCGGCGCCTCACTCACTAACACAGTTTTACGTTTCGTTTTCGTAATATATAACGTACAATTATTAGTTGAACTGTTCGGTGTATGTAGTACAGACTTGTGTCAGACTGTTATATCGATTAGGCGTCGCGACGAGAGCGCCGGTCGCTAGGGTGCAGTGTTGAAAGAGACGGAGCGTCGCGGTGCCACAATGCTGGCTCGGAATCGCTTCGGGAGTGATTTAAGTTATTAACTTCCAGACGCTGATTCCGGATGGTCATCATCGCTTACGACTAGCCGACTTAAAAGCTCTCGAACAGACCATGAAATGAGATACTTTGACGGGGGGAAGCAGCTCTTGTTCAGGAACAAAACGAAATTATTGAAAAGCTCTTTTTAAAATAAGCTTTGATCTCAGCTCGAGCAGGTGTATTCAAAGTTTTCAATGGAAGAAAAGGAGCTGGATGACAGACAGCAAGGTTAGAGATGATGGTGATTAAAAATCAGAGTTTTTGCATTTTAAGGGGGCGCTTTGGCAGTGTTTTGTACAAAAAAAAACTAAAAGCGGAAAAGAAAAATTTTATTCGAAAGTTCAAAACAATCATTTTCATCATTAAGTGTTAAACTTATTTCACTATAAAACTCGTTTCAAATTCACGGAACAGTTTAATAATTTTGTAATCATAATAAAGGTTTAAAGTTTGCACATTTGACCCTATTTATAATACATCATAAAGCTGCTCTACGAAGTTTAAGACATCCAGTATGTTCATCTCTGTAAAAAATCATTTTATTGTTTCCTATACTAGGTAAGCTTTCTGAAATATTATTTTATTTTTCTAATTTTTTTTAACAAGTGTTTTTTGTTGTGTGATAAACTTTGTTATTATTGAAGTTCAATTTAAAGTTTAAGAGTAGAATGTCCCTTAAAAAACTATGTACATTTTTCCAATATTTGCAGTTCAAAACATAAAAATTCATACATACCTAAATACATACATAAATTAATAAAACAAATATTCAAAAAACAATACCAATCCCAAAATTAAACCCTTTAAACGTCTTTTAAATCCGTTTGATGGCAATAATTAAAACAAAATAATTATTTAATTAAACAAATCGTTGGATTATTTTCATCCGAATATTCCGAATTTATTGTGTCTGTCAAACGATGTATTTGAAGATTTTGAACAATACTTAAAGCAAAACTTTTAACATTGGAGTTAATTTTGGAATTAATTCAGATTAAACAAGAAAATTGTGAAGAAATGTTAGGAAGTAACACAAATAAAAAATATTTTTCTTTTTCTTACCCAATTTAGTTTGAGTATATTTTATTTTACAATAGTAGTATTTCAGTAAGTGCTACGCATCTCCAAACTAAAACAAATAGAACAGTTTAATTTGAAGAGATGTACCTAGCGTCCACGGTATAATATTAAAGAAAATAGTTTAGCAGTGTTGGTAGCAAATATTTATTATTATGTCAAAATTTTCGCCTGAATGCAATTTCGAAATGTTTATTATCAAAATTAGAAAAATTACGTTGTTGTTACAAAATAATTTTCTTATATCTGCAATAATTATATAATTCGCAAGCTTAGTAGGTACCTACTTTTTTTACATTTTTTACTTTTTTATACGTATAAACATTTCTTTAATAAAAATATTTAATATTTTGGAAGTATGTTTAGTTTAAATAAAAACTGGTAATGTATTTCATATAGTGGATTTACCTTAATTAGCAAAAAATATCTATTTAAAAATTAACGTGACTTAGGCCGGGTTTCTGGTACGATTTTATTTTTAACTTTTATCGGTTGCAGAGAATGGGTATAGAAACAAACACCAGTGAAATTAGGATCACTATCTTAGAAACTGGGCCCTAGGCTCCCTTTTGGCCTATTCATATACTTTTTTAATAAATATACTCTTTTTTAAGTAGCCTCCTCAGTAGATATAGAAAAATATCAGACAGTTAAATAAATATAAAAATTATAAAATGTAATGTAACACCGAATTGAATAAAAATCTTGGTAAGGATAATTATTAACGATATTCGATCTATAATACATTATTACATTGCAAGAATCATGTCAGGAACACGATATGAACAAAATTTTTATAATATTCTTTTTCAGAAAAAAAAAAAATTTAAACCCACTGTTCACTTAAACCTTTTTCCTCTGTTTTTCCAAATAAAATAACGTTATCAGGAGCATGTCTATACTTATTCAGAAAATGTCACATAAAATAAATTACAACACAAGTTTTCAGAAAACATCTATAAAAGTTATATTGAAAATTGTATTGTTCGCAATATATCATGTTTTATTAAAACTAATATAATTTCAAACCCGAACAAGCAGCAATTTTATAAAATAAGTGTCATAGTTATTTTATAGAATAAACAATTAAAAAAAGAATTTCGTTATTCACTTCAGTTAAAGTTTCATTTAATTTAGTGTAGATAGTTAAATCTGCATTATTCATCAAAGATTAAAAGACTTTTAAATAGGGTTCTTAGCCGCATTATCGTTGTTCAGTAATATAGTAAAAACCATATATCTCCACAGTGTTATTACATATATCCTTATTATCCAAATTATTTAAATGTCTTATTTATTTTACTCACTATTTACTATCTTTGTTTTCCCCATCTCAAATTCGCTTTTACTTATTAAAAAAGCATTCGTAGCTAAAAATGTTTTAATGATTTTGCTTCAAGCACATAAAGACGCTTACACTGATCTCCACGTTATCCCTCCCCAATCCCCGGATCCTCCACTTACAGTAAGAAACAATATATTGCGGCTACTCACCACGGTAATCCCCTCTACAAATAAGTACCTACTTTTGTCTTGCAACCTCGTCCTAAAGAACAATTAAAGCTTATCCTTTCTCCGAGCGCCTAAAGTTTGAAAGTCCTTTTAATGACACCCTTCATGAAACCATTTAAACAGGGTGGGAAGGCATTACATTCAATTGCATTCTTGAAAGGAATTGCAAGGGAGCTTGTACACGAATGTTGCAGTGATTGCAAATTAAAATGCACTCAACATTTCGCAAAAGTGGAGTGAGTCATACTTGAATGGAAGCTTGGAGGCGGTAATGAGAAGTTATATTATTACTACTTTTACGAGCGAAGGGTTGTGGATGTCTAATGAAACAAATTAATTTACGTTTTTGCAACATTTCAAGGGAGGCTGCGTGTAGTTATTGATCAAGTTTTCGATAATACAGTTTATTACACATTAAAATTAACAAAATGTGTAGTATACAGAAGCAGTATTAGATACATTAATAAGTAAATATAGAGTACTTTGTGAAATACATTGTATTTGTGAGTACATATCTGGAAATCTTATATACACAATCTTAACAAATCCTCATTGAAACAAATCTTAAAGGAAACAACAATGTGTACTTAAAGTGCTGAAGATTTGTGCAAAATACAATTCATAAAAATTACATGGCAATTCTTTAACACCTACTTAAAAATATACAGTCATTTTGAAATCCAATGTTGCAGAGCTACCAACATTGAAAAAGTTTATTGTCTCTCTTAGTCCCAAGTAGCGCAGTGAGGGCGTGACCCCCACAAAATGATCAACACTTTTATCACTACCTGCGCAACGTTTGATAAAACTTTAATTGAACTGATTCATCACGTTTAGAGACCTACAACAATTTTAGAATATTTATCAATTAACATATACGTGAACGCAATTCACTACGATATGGACAGATTGACATTTTACGTATACACTAACAATAATTTAATTAACATAAATATTGATAACAAAAAATTTCAAACCACTACAGAAGCCGTTATAAAAAAATTATAGATATGAAAAATCATCACATTTCGTAATAATTGGATATGTACATAATTATACTATTATTGTACCCTTGATTGTAACACTTGAAATTTATTTACAACGATGGCATTTCAATGGAAAAGTAGCGACTGTTGGCCCATCTGACTTGCCGGATTTGGGACCACTCCCAAAGGACTCATCTGTGGAATCATCGCTGGACTTGTTACAATCGGACGCATCCCCTAAAACAGGAATAAAAATCAAACTTTTAAAATTTTGCTTCTTACCATCATGGGCGGCAATTGTGGGTACATCTGAGGCTGTAGAGTGGTTTGCATGCTGAGTGGTGGACTCGACATTGACTGATTCATGGGTTTATACCCGGCACCGGTGGTCGCGGACATCGGCTGAGGGGTCCAGTTGTTAGTTTTCGATCCGTTTTTCGGCGAATTCCATTGCACACCCCTAAAGCGCACTTAAATATTAAAGGAGACGACAAATACGCAAACTTACTTTATGGGCGCTGTTCGACTGTTAATTGTGAGATTCTCCGCTAATGACGCAAGACTGGACTCCAAGTCACCTGTCAGTAACGCTCCCGTCTGTGTGTTGTTGTTCGTATTATTATTATTGTTGTTGTTGTTAGTGACAGGAGATGTGGTTGTCTGACCGGCTGACACGGGCTGCAGGACCCCGCCGAGAGCATCAAAACCTGTGCCTGAAACAAAACCGAAATATTTCTCCTTGCGAAAGGAACATAGCTACAGTAATGACAGATATTATTAAAGGTTCATGGGAAAACAATTTAAAAATAATCTACTGTTATGTCAAGAGTTGTAAAATTTTTCCCATGTACCCACTTGCGTATGAGACTAATCATAAAATGCATGCATTAAGAAAATTATAAATAATTGCTTTATTTACAAGTTTAAACGTTAAAAATGACTAATATCAAGTGGTAGATGAATCTAGCATATATTTTATAGTAACCTTGAAACTAAAAATAGAAACAATATAATTGCTGTACTTTATAAAAATATAATTTGACTGTATTTTATTTAGTATTACTCATATTCATGGATGTTTATTTCGATCGAAAACAAAAAAAGACTAACCAATTTTCTAATAAAGTAAAAATTAAAAATATTCAAAAAAATTAAGAACAAAACAAAAAAATCTTACCTGTAGTATTTTATATTACTAATTATTAATTTTGTAACATCCTTCCGATTACATTGGTGGTTCATTATTATTTATATCAAAGTACTTTTAAAGCTAATTGTATTGTGATGTAAAAAAACAACCATTCAATAAAATAGTTCATATTAGCAGTGTTTTATACATATGTTTTTTGTTTTTTAAGTAAAATTAAACTTAGATAAAACAGTTAAAAACAATCTTTTTTGATCATATAAGTAGTACTAATTCTAAGGAGGTAGAATCGATTTTAAAAATGTTTAGGTATTAACAAAAAAAATGTCCCTTAACCCTATTGCCAAAACTATACACACTCGTAAGTAGGTATTAGAAATTCGAAATTTTATTTAAAAAAAAACAACAAAAAAATACACATTTGCATTTTGAAAAATCCAATTATAAAGCGGAAAAGTGTGTGTGTGGAAAAATCGAAAAATGTCATCATTAAATCAGAAAAAAAAACTTGGGAATGACACCTTCCCTTTTTTTGAATGTATATCTTGCTCTTTCGCTATCAGTGACATTATTTTGCCTTTCATTAGTTTTCATATATGGTTAATTTTAAAAACACAATTTTAAAAAATCGTAGAAACACACTTTCTATCTTGGCCTGTTCCACACCCATTTCAGAAAGTCCCTATGTTGCCACATTGACATTACCTTCTTCGTCTTATTATTATTAAATACTAAAAAACCCATTAGAAACACAGAGATCTATATCTAGATGCAAATTAAGTCATTATAAGTAAAACGCATACACGCATATAGCAATTCCATTGTGATTTCTTCCGACATTTTTTAACACAATAAAGCTGTGACCTTTGAAATGATTTCAGGTGGCGCTTAAGTGACAAACAATCTTGTTGCAACAGATATTTGGCCTCAATACTGTTCATAAACTTCTAATTTAAATTAAGGGGAAAATCAGGACGAGACCAAAATTAAAAAATAAGAAGTCAATTAATAGATGTAAATTATTAAAGTCGACAAACTTTACTTTCAGATTAAATTGCCTTATAATTGAAAAAGTGTATGTGAAATAATGTCCTAGATTTCCAAAATCTAGTAAATTTCAGTTTAGAAACTCAAATTTAGACTATACCAACATAACAAAAGTAAACCTCATTTCACATATTTTACTGTTTCTACCAATTCATCATCTAGAAACATTACGGTACCTAAATCCTGTTTAATATTACTCCCATTTGTTACGTTATGACACATCATTTCAATAGAACTCCCAAGTACTCTAATTTATAACAATCCCCTTAGTCATTATTCATCAAATTCAAACATTTCCAAGAACACGAGCTTCAATCGTGAGTTATTTATTTAGTACAACAGACAATTGTTTACATAATCTTCGATCGAAAACTCTTCAATCTTTTTTTTATTGTTTGTTTTCATTTAAGTAAGTATTCTACTTACGTCATTCATTTTTTCTCCCACAAGTTATTAAATTTAATATTAATGTTTATGGTAAGTTTTAACGGATGTTTGGAAATGTATATTCCGTTGGAAACATGCAAAATTCGTTTTATTATTTCTTGGCAATGCTCTACACCCAAACACCTACATTTCAACATGAAACCAGAATCATGAATGAAATTTCAAAAAACAGTAATTTTTCAAGTCCAAATGAATCAAGCAAAAACAAAACARACTCATACAACAACACATTTAAATCACCTGCCATCTTATAACCATCTATTACGTGTGAAACTACGGACAGTCCATCAGTAGCAGTGAACACAGAGGGTATTTTATTGTCAGTGGTGTGGCGGTTAATCTCGAGGGTAATTAACAAGAATGACAAAATCAATCAAACGGGTTTGGTTTCGATATCTTTCTGAAAGTAACTCAAAACATTTTGGATCGGATTCGGATCGGGAGAACCGACATCAAGAAGGAGAGGAGGCTCAGAGTCCTCCACCAGGAAAGGATTGAAGGATTTAGTCTCTTCGGCAGCTTGCGAAAAACATAAAAGCGATTGTTAGTCATGTTAAATGCACAATTAAAAGATTATGATTAGGAGTTGGRAAAAAATCAAGACTTGTCTTGCATTTTTCCCATTTTAATCGGTGTATAAGCACAGTATTTCTCGTGTACATGTAATTGTGCAACGATACATGCTCTCAATCATCACAAAGTGGCCGCTGTACACAGAAAAATCGCCAAAAGACTTACTTTTCGGTTCGGCATTTCCAAAAACCGATGCGAAATTATTTTCCGAAACGAAGGCTCCATTAGAGACGACTGGACTCGGTGGTTGGGCTACAAATGCTATAAAACAGTTAAAACACCCTCAAATATCCCCAAATCGTTACCATTTCCGTTCGCCATCCAAATATTGTTAGGTTGAATGAAGGGCGCAGTATTGACTGGCTGGGGTTGAGCAAAGGCGTCTGCGAAAGGATTAGACAACTGTAACAAATCATCGGAAGTTCTAGCAGGAGCTGAAATCGGTTCGGCGGCAAACAAATCAATTTCGGAAGCCGACTGTGGAGTAGTTTTGCTCGACGTCGAAGACGAATTGTTCAAAAATGGATTGGGACCAGCTGGTGGCGAATTTACTTTTGATTTGAACTGATTCATCGCGGCTTCTTCTTCAGCTAAGATTTGAAGTTTGAGATTTTCGTCGATGCCGTTGGCCGGAGTGTCGAAACGGCCGTTGGCAACGACGTTGCCGAAAGCATTACTGGTTGAAGATAAAGCGGAAACGCCCGATTTGACGTTTTTCTGATTGCTGCAAAGAAAACCATAAGATTTTTTCTTCGGTCAGCTCATTTAAAAATAGTTTAGTCACCGACCTTGTCGATTGAGACGAATTCGTCTGGGAATTCTTCTTGCCTTCAAGATGATTCAGATGTTGCTCAAGGGCATCTAACAAACTGCTGGGAGCTTTAGTGAGGTCAGGTATGTCCCCTTTATCAATACCGACATTCTGTAAAAATTCGTTTAGTATTCAACCAACGCCATTAATCGTCGACTTACTTCAGCAACTTTCAAAAATTCGGCCACTTTATCCATTCGAATGAGGAACTTTTTGTAAATATCCAAAGCCTCTTTGCATTGCTTTTTATTCATATCGAAGAATTTTTCTACAATTGTCCTTTATAACCACCGGATTTGACCGATGAGAAAGTTACTTACCTAATAAGTTAATAATACCATCATTATAGCATGCGAAAAGTCTTATAAGATCCTTGAACAACAACATAAAACACATATTAATGACACCATTGGTAAGGTCGTTCGCTGAACAATCAAACTCCAAAAGAGCATCCAACTGATTTTGCAAAACAGGTAAAGTTTTTAAAAGCTTGTCAGCATTCATAGTTCTCAACATGCCATCGTCTTTCCTACAAGAAAAATACTACTAATTGCATAAAAAATAAATGCGGTAACGTACCCTCTTTTCACTTTGCAAAAATCGAAGGCAACGGTTCTGTAAGACAGCGCTTTTTCGTTTAAATATCTGGCATACCGTCTGATAAAAGGTGACATGTCGTAACCTAAGAAAAAGATTCGGTTTAATATAAGTTCAACAAATAAAAAAGAGTGAAAAAGTGGCAAAAGTTTATTCTAAATTAAATTCATTCATCACAAGAAAGTCAGTGTAAATTCAAATTTGCTCAAGAGAAAGCGACACAAGAAGATAATCCCAGACACAAGAAGCAACCACTCCACATCAATCTCAATACTTACCAGTCCTAACATTTAGAATTCCTTGAGAACAAACAAAAATGAAAGTTAATATCTTTGAGAATCATTGTCGTCGATAAGTAAATGTGTTAAGGATGATGTAAGGTGTTTAATGATTTTACTAGATGAACAGGTAGCTTGTGACGCTGTCCTTAAAATAAATTAAATAATAAGAAAATATATTATATATCCTTTAGTAACTTTTAAATACATATAGAAATTAGAAATGCTTCGTTTCATAAAAAAGTGAAAATTTAACCAATTATGCTTCATTGGGTTATTTTATGACAGTGTTACCAGCTACTTGGCGATGCTTTTGCAATAATATTTAAAACCCTCGACTTGCGTTAATCATGAGTAGCGAGAGTAATGTTATTGAGTCTCGCGTGCAGAAAAATAAAGAGGGTGTGCGTTGGTAATTCATTAAGGATCAATAAACTCACCTTGAACACCACTTTTATCAAGAAAATTGCTCAGTTGAAACGTGCTGTTACTYGATGCCAAATATTGTGTAAATCTCTGGAAAAAAAATWATGTGTGAACAGCYAATTTTAATTGTCTTCTATTAAATTCATTGCTAAAGCTGCGTGAAAATTATTACTTAAAAAATATTTCAAGATTTGCTCTAGGTCGCTTTACTTTCTAACAAATTCTTTGCATAATACCAGTGCAGTGCAGAGCGAAAGATATTTCCAACCAGCAGAATCGATGAATTCCTTGAAGTTTGTACTTTTGATTTGAAAATAGCATAAATAAATAAATTACGTTCATCGCACTGTGTACAGTGACTCACATCCGTTGCTTAGTATGCAGACTTGTTATATCATGAAATTATGAATTTGAAATTACTTTTAAAAATTAGAGGAAAACAAAACGGTTTTGCTCCAGTTGTTACGTTTTGTTATTCAAAATACTTACTTCGTTTCCGTAACACATCATGTGATGAACTGTGATGAGAGCTTTATATACAACCACCCAATTTGTGTTTTGTGACCGTTCGATGAGAAGATTTGCTAATTGCGGGATTGAGACATTTGGTTCGTTAGTGCAGTGAAGTAAATCTGAAATGAAAAGAAAAAATTCGCATCAGAATTACGTTTTTGCGATTAATAATGGCCAAGCATGAAATCAAAGTGCATTCATTATTACCGCTTTTAACATTTCACGAATCAAAAAATAACATGATCGGTACTTGTTATTACAGTGCAATAAACTTGATAACAAAAAATATACTCAATGATAAATTCATAGAATTCATACTAGAAATTCTTTTCAAGTGAATGAATCGATGATTATTTATGTTTTTTTTTTTCAATTTATCGCAGATAAACCATTGATAAGTACGACATTTTATGTTTGTATTTCAAGCAATTAAAACAATCCACGAGGGAGGACATTGTAATGAGGTTACCATAAATTGACATTGAATACAAGAGATTACTGTTTCCCGGCTGGGTGAACATGTACCAATGATAACTCGTAAATCGCAATCAAGTGCCATAAAGTTGCGTATCGCAATGTTTATGGGGGACCTCCCAATTGGAGATATTTTATACTATCTGCAATGAGTGGACAAATTCTGCAGATAATTTATAAAAAATAGAACAAATCCAGAATTGTTTTACATTAAATTTGATTTAACTTTTTTTGCTATCGAAATAGATATACCAGGTGTAACAAAAATAAATACGAGTAATGACTATTATTCATCAAGATAAAGTGTCGAAAACGAGCAGAATGCGTGCTTTAGTATCATCTGAGTGAAATCCATTATATGCGAGTAAAATACTATATTTTTTCCAGGATTATTAAATATTTTTTAATTTTGGCTGGATTTTTAATATTGAAGAAGTTGATGTTTCAATTTGTTAAAAAATCAGTGCAATGCAAATTAGTTTTTTGATTTTTTTGTTTAATGATTGAATTTTTCGCGATGTGTTGAAACTGACGGATGTGACCTACACTGATATAACAAACGACAATTAACAATCGTCTGGGTCAATCTACGAGTCAAGTTTCATTTTTCGCTCGCTGAACTCAAGTTTGTGCACTTTTAAAATGATGCTAAATAAGTCTCACGGTCAGGCAAGACTTAATAACTAGAAAGTGGGTAAATATTTATAATAAACTGACAGTAAATTTAACGGGGTTATTGAAATGTAATGAACACAAAAACTGCTAATTCTCACAATTTGCACTTTCCGCAAAACATGATTAAAATTATATTCTAATTAGCCTTTAATCGCCCAAAGAAACAAATTCGTCTTCATCAGCGGATGCTGAAATAGAGAAATTCTTTATCACTTCCATCCATTGTTCGACCCCCTGTGAAAAACTTTCTATTACGTCAAAATTCTATTTTCAAATAATCTAAACTGGTTTAAAAGCGCAAATATATTGTTTCCAGCTCGTTACTAACTGACGCAAAAAAGTTTATTGTTTGTAACCCATTAACAGCGCACGTAAATCTTAACATGTCAAAAACCTACCACTATAAAAATTTTAATACAGAAACGTGCAAATGCAATTTAGTATTTCAGTATATTTTCATCCATGCGTAAACGTAATTGAAACACATTCCATTTCAGGTTTCGTAAAAATAAAACGAGGGGTTTTGTTTTTTCCGAATTTTCCAAGCCACAAATTACAAATTTATTGCACAGGTCAAAAGTTAAATAATGAAGAGGTAAAATGTACGTGGCAATGGTTGTGTGTCGAAAATCGAAATCCATTTGATTACTCCAATTGAAGTGGAAAAATTCATGTAACAGAAAAGGAATGAATTCGAGCCACATGCAAAAGATCCTGTTAAAAACATGATAATTTGGAATAAACAAGCCTGCATTTGAGTGATAACAAATAAATGATAATTTTAATATCACAATGGGACCGGAATACTCCCCCAAAACTGATTGTTTATGACAATTACAAAATGAAATTAAACCGGTAAAAAAGTGGGCGTCCTAAACTCCCCATACATCTTGATAAAAAATACCAGGCAATTTCGTGTCAAATCGCTGCTTAGTCAACTTGTTGACCTACACGTTGGATGTGTTGTTAACCTTTCTTAAAAAATATTCTCTTGTATGTTCCAGCGTTCTACTCGCGGAGGTAGGTGTTTGAACCTTCAAGGTTCCGTTCTTCGGCCAGAGTAGACTCTATTTGGCGAATCGTTTCTCAAAAACAAGACAATTCCGAAAGTTGTCGACTACTCGTTTCATAACGAGAATATGTTTGTCGACGCTGATTTAACAAATCGTTGCGCAATTTATTACGAAATATTTGTCCCATATTATAACGCCGAGTTGCATTTGCAGCGGTCCTCTCGAACCCAATTAGCTTGTAATTAATATTAATTGTCGGTTCGAATACCACGATCTTCGTTTCGCTATTGTATGCAGTCGTTGAAAGGTAAAAGTGGCGAGAGTGAGAACATTCTTATGCAACACTGCTTTGATCTTCCTTGTGACCAAGTGGGTTGTCTTGAATTTTGATCGGAGTTCCCTTTCGTTTGAAATTTTTCGCACGTGGGCAAAAAGGTGGCATTTATTAAACGTAACTAGACCACGAATGAAACTCGACCACAAAATACGAATTGCAACAAATTGAGGCTGGAATCAACTTAACGAGATAAATGAGGTGACATTTTTACTCGTTTTGCATAAATGTCAATCTCTGCTGCAATTAACGTGAGATCAACATCTCTTTCCTTAATTAGGGAGCAATTTTCGCATCAAATCCACTTAAAATGTGATATTAAGCGAACTTGAACTGCTAACTGGAATCGATAAGAATAGAACAGCAAAGTAAATATTTACTAAAATTTCTTTGGCTTTTCCCAGATTCCTGCAAACGTATCTTACTTCATTGCAAATCTTTCCCAAGTTCAAGTCTAGTCACTCATTATGACTAAAGAAATGGTTGTTGAGTCATCGACTGGCCCCTGCGACACGCCAAGCTGTTATCATGCAAAATACTATTTTTTCAACACAAATTCACAATGCAAAAAATGTATATTCAATTTACTTGGCTTAAAACTGCTTTGTTTCATGAAATTTTGTAAAACTCGGCAAGTTTGCATAATCTCTGTTTGAAAAGGATTACTCCACAAATTGGAGCTTATGAAAGCTTTGCTAACTTTAGCCTCATCAAATCAATTACGWTGAATAAATGTTTGATAGGCGTAAAAATATCTTCCCATGACTTTCTTTTTTATTTTATATTTGGAATTTAAAAGAATAAAAAGTAKATAATTGATAATTTTAGGATTTAAACCGATTTTATCCATCATTTCGACTCGWGAGCGTCACGAATTCCAGCCATTCACGAAGCTTACCTTCCAGATCACGTTTAGATGATCTCAAGAGTGAAATGATGACTACAAGAAACATTTAATGCAAAAACACCAACGGAATATTCAATTTTGACATAAGTCATTACGATCACGATGTTGTTTCCTCTAACACACCTCAGGAACCACAAACATACAAAAACAAATAATTCCCTATATTTTTTCGAAATACCAGCCATATGTAGTGATAGTGAAACAGGAAATAGCAATGCGGAAATGAGAGTTTCTTCAACCACTTAATACAAACAGAAGTTTTATCATGTTGCTGCATTCTCAAAATTAAAAGCAAAATAAAATATTTGTAAAAATAATTAAGAAAACTGTAAATTTTAAAATGAAAAAAAAAAAACGGGTATAACTATAACTAAACATAGAAACACACTGGGTGAATAAAAAGTATTAAACCAAGCGTTTTTTGCATTACCTTACAAAAAAATGATTAGTGGTGTTTAAACTACAATAAAAATGTGATCGTTTATTTTTCGAAATTTTTTTTAGTTTTCAAGTTTCGCAAAGAATTTTTTTCAAATGGCAACCCATCATGACATTTTTTTAATTAAAAATTATAATCTAAAAATAACCTCTAATTAAATGTTAAATATAATTGTTTTTTAACTAGTAATTTGTTTTATATGTATAAATTGTTAAAGTTGCATTCCCGGCCGCCACAAACATTTTACGAATTTAACCGAAGTGGTCGTTTTAGGCATTTGGTCATAGGGCAAGATTAAAAATGGAAGAAAGTGAGTTCTTTTTTTCCATCCAGAACCACTCCTAAGTACCTACACAAAAAAATCTTAATCTCCAAAGTCCAAATGCATGAAACGACCACATCGGTTGAGTTCGGAAAATCTTCCTGATGAGCTCGGAAAGCAACTTTAACGATTTATTTAAAAAAAAATTAAACAAAAAACAATTTTATTTAATTAGAGGTCATTTTAGCTCATAGCCTTTAATTAAAAAAATTGTCATGGTAAGTTGCCATAATTGTTTTGCTAATTATTCATGAAAAACGATCACATTTTTATAGTTCTTTACATTGCACTAGTTATTTTTTTATGCAAAAAACGCTTGGTTTCATACTTTTTATTCACCCGGTATATACTCGTACATACAGCACTACGGAGTGTCAGTGTCTAGGAAACAAATTAACTATAATTCAATGAAATGTTAATTTCCCACTGCTGTCAAGTGACCCATTTAAATCGTAATACGACAAAGTAAGACAAATATTGAAAAACCGACAAAAAAAATGTAGATGTAAAAAGATTAACAAACAAAAATTTCACTAAAAACAATGTTGACAAGAATATTAAGCAGCACATTGCATTTTTATGTTATACGACTAGTTGTATTTTGTTATTTTTATAACATCTTTCACTCTCTTTGCTACTATTTTAAAGTCTTAATCGTTCAGAAACTAACTTTTTCCCTGATCCACAAATGGTAATCCAAAAATCTAATTTCAAATCCATGGTTTCTAATTTATATTGTCCTTTTTTTTCTTTGCTTTTTTGTATATAAAATCTAGAAAACACTTTTTGCTTAAATAAAATCATATTGTAACTGTTATTATACACTTTGAAGGAGCCTATTTCTTAAAATACGCGAAATTTAAATACATGTTACTGTTTTCTGTGATTATTTAAGAGATCAAATTTATAAGTTTTTGAAACAGTTACGCGTCTTTGTGTACCACTAACTCCAAACAAACACTTCAGATGAAATGGTTGAACTTTCTTAATTGCTAGTAACAAATGTTTTAAGTTATCTTTGTACATGAAAGCTCAATATGAAATTGAAATTTTACGACCTACAAGACCGCTTTCGTTTTTTAACAGGCAACTTGAATATATATTTTTTTGTGGCGATTTAATCTTTATATGAACACCACGGTCACGTCTTGATCTTGTTACRGAGATAATTATTCGCGATGATGGGTGGTTTCTTGCATCGTGTTCACCACCCGCAACCAATTCTTCTAGATTTCCAACATACAACATGCAATCATCGCTTCGTTGCACAAAGTGCACCAAACACCTGCCGACTCCTAGTTTCAACTGTTCAAATATGTGCCCCAATGTTAACCACCTGAACGGATATAACAAAAACAAAACCCTCTGAAATATTCACACGACTTCCTCTTGCATAGCTTAATTAATAAATCAAAGCGACCAGTTTTCTCCTGGCAAAAAGTGAAATTACAACAATCTCAAGTCTGAACTGGCAATTTTTGATTACCACCAGGTGTATTTATAATAGCGGAAAAGGTCTACAAGCGTAATAACGGTTCAAAAACATGCGAAAATCGGTAAATTCTCATTTACGTAACTTTGCACCTAAACACTTCCCATGTCAACTAAAATCATAATTTATTAAAACAGAAACTGGAAAAAAAGTGTAATAGAATACAATTATTTTTAATGACAATGTATTTAGTTGAAAATGTATACCTTTCACTAGCACACAACACCGAAAAAAAGCGTAAAACAAAAATTAAAAGATGTAAATATCTTCCAGGGCAATGACATTAAACAAACGATGGTTAATAGTAGTACTTTTATTTTGTTTACTAAATAAACCAAATATTTTCTCCTGTAAACAGTCGCGGTGACTGTTTTATTCAAAATTCTCCCCTGTGGACCAAAAAATAGACCAAATAGAATATGAAAAAACCAATAACAGACAAACAAATATTTTCAATAATGCCACTTCATTATCATAACATGCACTACACCAAAACTGTAAAAATAATGCCACCTAAAAATAGTTGTAAAAAATCAATATGACCGACCGCCTCTTCTTCGAACTTCTGATTAATTAAAAAAGCCAATATGGAGGCCATATTTGTCATACAAATCGATTTATTTAACTTCAGAGATAATAGGCTTTGTGATAAAAGCCAATTATTTTATTTTTTCTGACGTAGTTATTACGACAAAATTCATTGGAAAATATCGTCGCATCCGCATTTCGTCTATGGGAAGGTGACGGCTGTTTACAAAGATATACTTAAATTTAGAACCACTATAAATACGTTACACGTGAAAATTCACATGTTTGAAGAGTCGCTTTAAAAAAATACATAATCTTAGTTAATTCGCTGGCAAACAACTTAATCAACGGTAGAACTGATAACGAAATGAAGGAAATTACACAAATGTAGAACTTTCACGATACATCATTTAGCGATTTTCGTTATTTACACAATGATTCGGTGTACCTACAACTAATTTGTTTACCAATGAAATAAATTTATCGCAAATCGTTCTTCTTTTTTTCAATTCTTTCTTATTTATCACCTGATAAAGAAATGCAGGTGGAATTAATTGGAAAATGAAATTAGGATTCATTAAAACTTTGCTCAACAGTTTAGTCCCCCTTTGGAATGTTGCGAGTCTTAAACTAATTATTACAGTTAATCGATTTTCAAGCATTGTATCATTTTCTATAGGAACTGAACTTTCCTTTGTTGATGTGTTTTATGGTAAAACTTTGAAATAGAACCGAATTTATTATGTAGATAAGAAATATGAATTAAATCGTTTTTTAAAGATAATGATAGAAAATGCTTCTACTTTTCTTAATAAAAACTCTCATCCTTGATAGCAACAGCGTCAGTCACGTTATTTTTAAAAATAACCAACAGTTTACAAAACTGTTTATCGTCATAATTTTAAAAATGTTGTTTTAACGTAAAATGTGAGGTCATTAGCTTTACAAATTGAAATGTTCACTTTATAATTTGAGGAAAAATTAAAAATACGTTTATCTTTAGACGTGGTTGCTTATTTGTTTATACACAGTAGGAAAAGTGCCAACGAGAGTACATTTATCTTTGTTAATTGTGTACTATAATAATTTTACAAAAACGTTCTTGTTCTTGTGGTACAGGACTGGTTAAATAGCCAAGGTTACTTCAAATGAAAAGTTGATATCTATTACCTGTGTGGCAATTTGTATTTTATAATATCGCAATGTAAATGAATGACTAATCGTCAAGGTGTCACATGGTTTAATTAGGATTCAATGCAAAAAAAATGAATACAATTCCCACAAAACTGTTAAGGTTACCAAAAGTGTTATTTTTTGACTCTCATTTATCAAAAATTGATATTTCAAGATTCTAAATTGTGTCAATATGTATCTTATTTTCAGTAAGAAGTTTTAATCATTTCTGCTCTCTGAATAAAAGCAAATTTAAACTAACTAAAACATTCAAAGATGTGAAGTATTGCTAGAGTGACATTTAAAATTTCTATAAATCAAAATAGTGGTAGTCTTCATTCACGGCCAACAGGTTCACACAATTGACATTTTGGGTGCATAAAGCATTTTCCACAAAGATAATAATAATTAAAGTGAGGTGAGATTAAAAGTTTCTTGTTTATTAATGATTATCGTCGATTGACAAATTAGTTAAAATACTATTTGGCCACTTTTTGCATTTTTATTCGTTTAGGTTTAAACACCATAGAGGCGAAATGACATCTTCCAGTCATTTTTAAAACTTTTCGTAACCTAAATTTGTCATTGTGACATTTTATCTTCCACAGACATACGTTTTAAATTTCTACGCTTGCTTGATAGACAAACTTTTTGATCGCACTGTATTACCATTAGCTATTTTGATATTAATGACAACTGACGTAGTTGCTATGCAAACAAATTATGTTTTTGACATTTGATGGTAACACTCCCCAACCAAGGGATGAAATGACGTATTTTCCCGACCATTAAAAAGAATATTATAGTAATATACTAATATAGTAATAAAAATTTGAAATTTGACTTGTCAAAAAATGCATATTTGCCTAATAATAATTTTATTTTAATGACATTTTTATTTTTTTTCCTGTTGATCTTTAAGAAATAACGTTCACATACACTATTATTTACATCATAGTCCCGTCACAGAATGTTATAAGTTAAACAATTGTCCCAAAAATTTCATGTTTAACATTATTACTATCGTTATTGACAATACAAATAATGACCTAAACCCCAGATTTTTATAATCCACTACAACAAAGTTTGAAGGTTGTGTAAATGAAACAGTGTGGTGTTTTTAAAATGTATTTCTTTTATAACTTAAAATAAACTAAAACTCTTCTTCACCATTTTTATATAAATTTAAAAAAATGTCACACAACAGACATTATTACACATGAGTTAATTCTTAACATACCAATTGATAAAAAAATGTCCCTAGTTAAGAATTAAGTGTTTTGAAATTTTTTATCGTATTTTTAAAATGCTTGTAATATTGACCTTAATGCATGGCAATATCTGTGATATTCTCTCTCTTTTTTAATTTCAGTCACAATTTTTGCCCATAATCATATTTAAAAAACCACTTATTATAATGAATGTAAGGCAAGAAAGGAAACAATTTTTGATCAATTTTTTAGATAAGACATACAATAGAGACATTTTCGTTACTTCAGACAGTACTTTTCCCACAATACTGGCGTTTGGTATGATCCCGTGTCAACTTTTTTGCTTGTTATTAGATTTTTGCTGTTGAGATAAGAATCAGTTATCATTTAAGTATTATCAATCATGTGTCCCCAATAATTACGCACAGATAAAAACATTTTCTTTTCGCCTAGTGAAAAATGAATTTTTGTTGTTCTTTGGTCCGACCTAGGAGTCACTAATTAATCAAAGAACCACCGAAGCACAATATAACAGTATTTTAAGACCCAGCCTAGGTTCCTCCGAGTCCAACACAAGAACCACATTCCAAAGAGCAGGTAAATAATTTCCACTCCTACAGGTGCCTAATAACATCATATCACTCTCTCCGGCGGTTCGCTCCAAGTGCAACAAACTAATCGTCAATTAACCCCCCGAAGCACTTACAATCTAAATGTTTCTTTTTGGGGCCAATCATCTCTTCGGTCGTGGCCTTACAAACGGACTTGGCTAATCCCTGACCGGCTAGACTGTGCTTAGCCGCRAGAAGTCGGTCGTTTATAGTCTGACCAGCCATTCTTCCCGTCATATTGCACTTTTCACTTTATTATAGATGCAAACATAAAGCACTTTACACTTGCACTTTAACGAGGCACACTCGCGGGTCTTTGGACGCACCTTTACCACTTTCTGATCGGCTGAACAACCGACGGGCCGCGGACTGTCACTTACGGATTGCGTCAAACTTGAAGGCAGACCGCGACGTTGCCACATTACCTAGCAACGCATCCACCAATAGGAAACGACGACGGAACTCGGTGGTTAGCGGCGCAGATTTTTGAATTTTTTACCAAATCGTTGAATTTGAAAATAATTCTCATTATTCAGCAAACTGTAATTAAAAAGCTATTATGTAATCCCGTTTCAAAACACTGGATAACCTTGAATTGGGTCAAATATTTATCAGTGAAGGTTAATTAATAAATCAATTTATTAAAATAAATCTACTTTGCCACACTGCTTGTTGTTTTTTAGATATGTATTTTTTGATAAAAAAGAGGTGAAGTGTCTGCCCTCACAAAAACAGTAACCTTTTATACAGGATGTCTGGAAAAAACGTTAAAAGTTTCTGAGGGTGATTCCTTAGATTAGTATAAACAAAGTATGTTCCTATGACCGGAAATGCTTCCTAAAGGATTAAAACAATTACTATATAAAAAATTCACTGCGTGGGTTGCTTTTAAGAAAAAAAATCGTTTTTTCAAAGACGGTGTGTCGTACAAAAATAACACCAAAGACATTTTTTAAAGAAAATAAGCCAATAAAACCAAATCTGCAAAAAGAAATTAAAAAAAACCTATCCCAAAACAAAATTTTACATTTTACACTGGCTTCGTATATTAAGATACATATTTTTCGATATCACCAATAGATTCATCGCCAAAAAATTACTCCAGATAATAACTTTTGTTTTATGTTCATCGATTACTGAGAAAATTGAAAAAAAAGTCGTCCCCCTAATTAAAATACATATTTTTTGAAATCACCAATAGATTCATCCCAAAAAATTACTCCTGATGAAAACTTTTGTAAAATGTCCATCGATTATTGAGAAAATTGAAAAAAAGACTTTTGCCCACCATCTTCAGGGAGCTCTAGTTCCCTCGAGAAGCATTTCCGGACATAAGTCCACAAAAACTTTTTTCTTATTTTAACCTAGMGAACCACTCCCCGAAATATTTTAGCCTTTTTTCGGACATRCRGTATAATAATAATTATAATTAATGGAAGTCAGATAAAAAACTGTTGTAAGTGTCCATGACCTTATCAGAAATCAAGAAGAGTAGCACCATTAAAACAGTTGTGAAAAAATAAAAATAATCTAATAATTGATTAAGTATTTTTTTAATTAATTTTATTAGCCGGATTCACTCATATTCACTCTGATTTGATTATGAATRTTGAGTAATAAATATAATAAAAAACGTTACAGAAACATTTACTTGAGTTACAAAAATAAATCGTGTCATACATTGGCGGACACGGAATTTTGGACGATTTTGTCATTCGACTGACATAAAAATGTAAAACGGGCTTAATGCAACTAACCTCACTTTCGGTTTTTATCATTTTTATCCAAAAAATCACAACAGATCAAAATAAATTATTGAACTTATATAAAAACGTGTATTGCTGACATTATTGTTTCGGAAAATCGCTCGCTAAAAATGAATTTCACCTAAAACTTTAAAATTTTAGTTTTAAACGTCGATCATAATGACAGTAAAGCGTAGTTTATATTGACATTTCTTGAACTGACATAAATTTGATGTCCACAATTCCGTGTCCGCCACTGTATGTAATATAAGTTTTGAAAATTTCTTTCGGTTATGCAACCAACTATTCACGTTGCAAACCGGTCGCTATGTTGACGCATGTTGTCATTATCATAACCTCAAAACCGTAATTTCATAATTTTGGACTTTCTGTAACCAAATTCTAGTGTAGAAATAAATGTCAACAAAATTAAAACTATATCTGGGCCGAAAGGTAAATTTCGAGATTTTTTCTATTCGAACCTTTTTTTTATTTCCAGGTGATTGATTCACTTAGTAGGTCAACGAAATTCACCCCCATTGAACTTCTCCCCCTCATTCATGTCGGAAACACGACTTTGAATAACAGTTTTGAGCTACACTTGCCTCTAAGCACCCTGGAAGACCATTTAGGCGTCCCCAACGTAAACGAAATCCTCAAAATTCGCCCCGATGATATAATTAAAAGCATTGAAACAAAGAAAGACCGCGCTAATAGAAAAATTAGTTTCGAAATAGACCGKACGATTTTCATCCAAGACGTTATTGAAAACAGCCCCAACCCTGACTTAAACCTAAAACCTAGAAACATAGTCGTTGAATTTAGCTCACCAAACATTGCTAAACCGTTCCACATGGGGCATTTACGCTCAACCATAATCGGGAATTTTATTGGCAATTTAAACTCATTTTTGAACAATAAAGTAACCAAACTCAACTATTTAGGGGACTGGGGCACGCAGTTTGGGTTTATTAAAGTGGGGGTTGACGAGCTTAAACACACACAAGAAGCAATAAAAAATAATCCGTTGAAACTCTTATACGAATCGTACGTTTACGCGAATAAACTTGCCGAAAAAGACCCCACAGTGGCAGACAGAGCAAGACAAGAATTTAATAAATTGGAGAAAGGGGCACCCGAGGGGCTAGAATATTGGAAAGAGTACATGCAGTATAGTAGAAAGGAATTAGAGACGACTTARAAAAGATTAGGTGTTGTTTTTGATGAGTATAATTTTGAGTCGAATTATAGTGTTAAGGATATTCAAAATGTGATAGATGTTTTAAATAGTAGGCATATCCTACAGAAGGAAAGCGATGGAAAGTTGAGTGTTGATGTAAATAAACGGAAAGTCGCAATTATGAAAAGTGATGGCTCCACTTTATATTTAACGAGAGATATAGCGGCCGCAATAGATAGATATAACAAATACAGCTTTGATAAAATGCTTTACATCGTGGATAACAGCCAAAGCGACCATTTTAATAATCTTAAAGCAATTTTGCATAAAATGAACCTGCCGTGGGCTCACAAGRTKCAACACGTTAAATTTGGCCGAATTCGTGGGATGAGTACAAGAAAAGGAACAGCCATCTTTCTGAGAGACATTCTCGATGAATGCAGAGAGATAATGATAAAGAAACAGGTCGAGTCCCCAAGTAAGACAACAATTTTTAAACGCGGTTGCAACAACTTTGTTTTTAGACACKCGAGTCCCCATTGATGACAGCGCCGTGTCAGACATACTCGGCGTTTCTTGCGTCATAGTCAACGACTTGAAGCAACGCAGACAAAAAGATTACGATTTCACCTGGGACAATGTTTTACAAGTGAAAGAATAATTTTTGTCATGGCCAATTGAGTAACTGAATTTATTCCAGATCCAAGGAGACACGGGTGTTAAATTACAATACACCCACTGCCGCCTTTACAGTCTCGAACGCAATTCTGGGGCAACACGACCCAAAAAAGTCATCCCTGAAGTAATCACAGAGCCAGAAGCCACGGCCTTAGTTCGAGAAATCGCCCGATTTCATGAGATTTTAAACAGATCTAATGAGCAACTCGAAGCTTGCATTCTTGTAACGTACCTGTTTCGCCTGTGGTACATATTTTCATAATTTTTTTTCATTTTTTAAAAATTGCGTTCTAGTAATCAAATCAACAAAGCCCTCAAAGTGTTACAAGTCAAAAATACCGATCCCGAGATCGCCTCCCAGAGGCTACTCCTGTTCATAACAGCGCGGCAAGTTCTAGGAAAAGGGATGAGTATACTAGGATTACATCCTCTTGACGAAATGTGAATTATTTTATTGAACTATTTGTAATACAACTAACGTTTTTTCCAAGTGAATTTCCTTCTTGCACCTTCCTGTCCTGGCTTCTTTCTTTCTTTGGTTCGGTAGTCCCTCGTCAACAAACCAGCTATTAAAAAAATACATGAAATGAGTGGACTAGAAATTCAAATAACAAACCTAATCGCATCTTTTCGATCGTATCTTGATCGAGGAAACTCCTCAGACCCCAGGCTATGCCCCAGCGGATAGCCCCAGCTTGACTCGAAATGCCGCCACCTTCCACTTCCGCCTCAATGTCCACTTTACCCAACATATTCGAGAACAACAGAGGAAACAATACCTAAAAACATGCAAAACATATAAAATTGCCCCCTAATGGCCAGTYTTTGTGGTGGGGAATTGGAAATTAAAACGCCACATAAAAAGAAAGCTACTTCACAAGCCAGTTTATTGAAGACGTAGAATATACTGTTATTGTCAATAGAAGGCACTTGAAGTATAATACTGTAATACGAAGCATTGTAAAACTAAGTATGACAATACGAGACACTATTTGTATAACAAAATTAATCTCACAACCACTATTTCACTAATATCACACATTGCTTAATGGCAAGATAAAATTTAATCTCTAAAATAAGGAATAACATAAATAACATCTTTTACGTATATTTACTCATAAAATCTGATATGAAATACATCACAGTCTGTACATTCCTAACAATTTGAGCTATTCTTCTTATTCACTAAACCATGCAACACCTGTTCCATAATCTTCTGGTTGTTTTGAAGAGCAATCTTCAGCTCGCGCACTTCTTTACTTAAATGTTCAATCTGCTCGGTACTTTTCTCAATTTTACTTTGAAGTAAAGGAAAGGCACTTGGATACTCCAAAATCTCACTGTTCTGATCCATATTATTGTTAATAATAATTTTTCTGGTAGTAGCATTACTACCATTAGACGAAATCGTGTGTGCGTAGTGTTTTCTCTTTTTGGCGATTTCATGTGCCGCCTTTAGTATATCTCTAGGGAGGCGTTTCTCTCTCGGATTCAGTGGTTTCACATTCAAAACAACTCTGTACGCCTTCGGGGACACTAAAGCCGTCCAATGAAGCAAATTCAGGAGATATCGCGGTAAATATCCGTTAAAAAGTGCCAGCTCCATGTACGAAATCAATTTAGTTTGACGGACAAGTTTCGACAAGCCGGCCGTTTTCTGCAAACCTTGTATATCATGAACGGCTATACCCACGAGAAGGTTCATTAAAATAACAGTAACAAAGAGTAGGAAGAGTATGTAGGTAACTTGCGCACTTATTTCTAACAGAAAAGGGGGATCTTCCGGGTCGTCATCCACGAGCAAATCTAGGTTTAGTTCACCCGTCATCATTACAAGAACGGTAATAAGACCGATAAAGGGATTGGCAAACGTTGACGAGTCCGGGAAGATCACACAAAAACTTATCGTAAAACCTATCAATAAACACGAGTAAGCTAAAAGTAATTTGGCAAATTCCCCTTGTACTCTAGTATACATAGCAACATAGGACCCAAACACTGGCAACTGACCAATCATTAGCATTAGATTAGTCCAACCGAACAACACGGCAAAAGCCCCAATGTGGTTCTGCCAAGTGTACGTTCGTCCGGTGTAAATAAAAGAAATAACAAAAACACTAACAATAACAGTCCACTCGATTATATTCTCCGGATGCGATAGATATTGCTTGACAGTGGGGTACCCCGCGATACCATACACCTTCCTCAATATTTCACAACAGGTGATGCCCACCAGCACGAACCATTGCATTTCGATAACGAAAGGATTAGTCCGTAACATGTGCCCCATCATGGATTTCTTCTCACACAACTCAATCACGTTTTGGGGCTGAGTATCGTTCATGTTTTTACCATGATTGTAACAATTATGAGCCAAAGCRGTTAAAACGTAAAGAGACAAACTCAAAACGAAAATAAAACAAAARAACATCCGGGCTATGTAGTARTTGCGGATCTTCTCCCATTTGAGGTACAGAAAAGCAGAACAAAGTGGGTGCAAGAGAATTTCCTTCTGGCCTTCATCGACGAAAGTGTTGAGGAAACTTATCTCGCGAGGGTGGCAATGTTGGAGGATGCTCCTGAAGTCTAGTCGTAATTCCACTTCGCGATTCGAGGATTCGGGATGGTGGTGGAGGGTTATAGCCGAGTCGAGCTTATGAGTGACCATTGCAAGAGATGCTGGGGTTTTTCGAGTGATAATACCAAGAGCTGTCATTCCGAATTTCGATTTAGCCGTTACGTCTGCTCCGTGATAGATCAAGATTTCTACACATTGTGACAACTCATTCAAGGCGGCTATATGTAAAGGGGTGTAGCCGTATTGGTCTTTGGTGTTAACATCAGCACCCCAACTCACCAAAATCTCAATTATATCGTAAGACCTRGCCGCTTTGCACACAGCAGCATGYAGAGGCGTTCTRTTATCAAAATCGCCGATATTTGGATCGGCGTTACCCTTCCTTAAGAGCATGTCGACACAATCATAGGCTTGCGCTCGCGCCGCTAGATGGAGCGGTGTTTGCCCTCGATGGTTACGTATATTCGCATCAGCTCCTTTATCTAACAAGATTTCAACACARTCAACGTAMCCTCCCTCGGCGGCTAGATGTAACGGCGTTAATTCCTTTTCTTTTGTTTTTGCATTGACGTTAACACCTTTCGCTTCCAACATTATTTTAAGACATTGTGGATGGCCTAAATCRGCCGCGAGGTGTACTGGGGACATCCCCGAAAATTCAAATTGGCCCACATCAGCCCCCTCTGCCGTAAACAACCGAACACAAGCAATCGCATTGGCTCMGACCGCYCAATGTAGGACACTCTCGTGGCAATTATTCGGACTGTTAGTTAAAGCTTGAACCCTCGCTCCATTATTTAACAAAATCATCGCCGTTTCGGGACTATCCCCGAAAGCCGAACAATGCAATGGAGTGTAACACTTGAAAATCGCGTTGACGTCACACCCTTGGGCTAGTAGGAATTGCGTTCCGGGGATGCACCCACTGAAAGACGCCAAGTGGAGGGCGCTGAGGCCTTGACTGGGCTCGTAGTACCGCAATTGGGCCCCCAATTTCAAGAGGCCATCCAAAAGCTCCCATCGTTTCATGAAAGCAGCCCACAAGAACGCGATGTTGATTTCGAGCTTGGTGGCCCCGTGAAAGGCCTCGGTGAGGTTCTCCTGACTTGTCTTCTTGCACTCGATGTCGTCAAGGAGCTGGTGACGCCCCGAGGCCATCTTCATGTGCTCAAGGAGGTTCATCTTGATCGTATCGTGGCAAATCTGCACTGTGAGCTCACTTCGGGAAAACTCCTCGAAACTCTCGTAGATGTTGGGTGTGTGGTCGGCCGGGGGCGAAGGGCCACACTCCATATACTCGAAGTCGTCAGAAGGAAACTCCTCTTCCACCACGATCTCCGGATCTTCGCGAGGACGACGCCACCGAAGACCCGAGGGACACGTGTGTGTTTTGTACAACGGGAAACTTTCCACTTCGACGTTCACGCTCACGGAGCGGCCCAGCTTGCGAGAGTTGGTGGAGTCTTGGAAACCCATATTGTCCATTTTTAGGGATTTCTTGTGGTTATCTGTGGCCGCAACCATTTACCTGTAGTGACATTGAAGAGAGATGAGATTTTATGAAGGAGACGCAAAACACTTCTGATAATCCGGGCGAGATAAAACTTTCCGGAATTTTATGGGACACTTGGGTCTTGTTATCATCATGAAGGATTAAAGGATAATACGTCTTGTGTTGAATCTGACAAACATTAAGTGTAACGCAAAGAACATTGAGTTGGATGTTGCAATGTTTTAATGAAGGTCATTGAATTCATTACTATTGTATGGTCAGATTGTTCGTTTAATTTTTAAATCCTTCACTTTAGGATGATTGACTAGTAGATACGTTAACACAAGTTCTGGCTCAAGGGGTAAACGTGCAAAATTAAATATAAACAATAATTTAATCTTTTTTAAATGTAATGAGAATCTAGAACTTTTGTAGATTAAATTTAATTTCAGCCCCTTTCCAAAATTACTAGAATTTCAAATAAATTTTAGTCACTTAGTCCTCTAGGCCCTAAATCATCAAGCCCTATTTTTTCTTTAATACACATTTTAATATTTTCAATTTCTTCAAGGTCTCTAAATGCGTGTTATATTAAATATTTAGCTATTTTTTTTTATTTTTAAGTAATAATATGTAGGTGTAAATTTAATTTAATATTATTTTAAAAAATTGAAATTGATTACCTTATAATTTTTACACTGCAAATATGCGAGAAGGTAAAAAGTACTCGACTTTTTTGTTATTTCTAATCTTTTAAAGATACTACAAGTATCGAAGTAGACCGCGAGGTTCCTAAAACACCTGAAGCATTTTCAGTTGCCTTTGTAAAAAATGTCAGAACAAGTTGTTTCTTAGTAAGGCTTAATTTAATAACAGCAATTTTGAAAATTTATCCATCGAACACGATATACGGCAGAGAGAAAAAGCATCCCACCATAATAATAAACTAGGCTAGGGCCAAGTAGCGGTAAAATATTCTCTTTTTTCGCTAAAAAGCGGCTCTCATTTTGCACAAAGGATGTAATTGATTAGCAAAAACAAACACAAATATTTATTTTTAATTCAATGCTTTTACGGTTGGTTTGAACAACGAGTGAAAAACATCTTGACTCGTGAATGTCAATGATGAAGACCAATAATGTAAAAAAATAAGTACACTCAAGCTCAGGAATGTTAATTAAAGCTAAACCAAATTTTTTCAAATTAATCAAGATTTCCCAGATTCTCAAGTCATTTCGTTAAACTTGAATAACTTGCTGGTTTGCACTAGACTGAATGGAAAATTTAATTATTTACATCGTTGAACAACAGGATGTAGCTAGTAGCTAGATCATAAATTTATCAATTTCCATTTTTCAATGTCTGTTCACACCCACAAAAATATATACAAAGCCGAACAGAACAATCGACTTAAGGCGGTCAACATGCCCTAATAACACTCTGATTGCTTCTGAATTGGCACATTAAATGTTTACGAGCTAACGTCACTATTAGCAATAGAGTCGTATAGTGTGGACACCTAAAAACATTCTTAGGTAATTTTCGAAATGAGTCATGATACAAAACTAACTGTACACCTGTCAAGGTTTAAAAACAATCGAATGAGGGAGTAACAACCTGTTTTGGGTAATTCCTAGTTGAGTGTGGGTTATTTGACCACACCAGCTATCTAGAAAAAACTATCAAGTTTAATGAATTAGATGACGAGTTTTCTTTTGTTACCCAATTTCCTACTTCCCAATTCAATGACACACAAATCTAAATTATGGTGAGCGAAGCAACATTATCTGGGAAAACACACAAAATTTGCATTCATTTGCTTTTTTGTTTTTTGTAAGACCAAATCAAAACACATTAATGAGAATTGTTAATTATTTCTAATAAATATTAAAAGAATCTCTAAATTGTTAATTTAACACAATGACAATGAACTCTAATTGGATTTTTTCAATGTTTGGCAAAAAGGATTGTGATGTTAATACGGAAAGTTTAAAAGCAATACTTCCGTCAGGTAAAAAAAGTAATTATGTTTAAACATTTTTGGTAGCTTGCTTGAGAGAAATCAAACTTTTCCAAGAAATGGAATTAAGTAATCATTGTCAAAAGATTGCCCAAAGATAAGTTAAAAGCCAATAAAGTCCAGGTAATAAAATTTGCAACCTCTATTAGCGAAAGTCTGAAATGTCACAGAAAAATCATGTTTTCTTACCACATTTACATTTTGTTTTTTAATACAAATGTTGCTGATACTGCATTTAGTGTTATTTATCGATAAAAAACAAATAAACCAAATCAAAATAAACAATGCATAATCAAAACGAAAATGCAAACAAAAATAAAATTATAATTATTAATTATTACAAGTTTTCAGTACAAAATCAATTCAATTCCTTGTAAAAACATTTTAATTCAACTTAATTAAAGGAATCAAGCAAAGCACCACCCACATAAATATAATAGAAGTAACATTTTAAGAATTAAACAATATAAAGTTTAATTCACTCAAAATTCTAGGATCCGGAAGTGGTAAATAATAATTTCCTAGTAATACTAGAGGTATGAGGAAACATAAATATTATAGACTGTATTTTTATATCAAGGTAACATTTGGTTGAATGGAATTCAATGTAAAGTTCATTGTGAAAATATGACAACACAATATAACTCGTCGTGAGAAAAAAATTGAAGAGGAAATAAAACCAATAATCAAAAAMWGTGACGCATTACGAAATTATAGTCCCCGAGATTTATGATTTAAACCCAAAACAGTGCACGTTAAAAAAATTGTTTACTAAGAGAATAAGTTGTAAATGTTTTATAACTTAATTGCCCTTGTGTGAAAATCTCGCCCGTCAGAAGTGTTTTTAAAATCCGTGCATAAAAAATTCACAAAAACTACTCACCATCCGTATATTCTAAATTCGCCTTCCCACATAAAAAATTCCACATGCGATCACAAGCATTGGGCACATTTGTTGTAATTGTCAATACCGTACAATACACTTACACAATTAGATGAAATCATGATTGATTCACATGCCGCACTGAAAACTCATTCGGAAAAAAAAACGCCGAAACAGAAGCGACCGCAACACTTAACAGTTCTTGGATTCCTAAGAAAAATCCAACCGGTAAATTCGCAGGCTTTCGAGTTGCGTAGGCGACAGACTGGCATAACTACTGCGAATAACGCAAATTGTTAAATTGCTTCGTAAAGAGTCTCTTTGAACCTTCGTGGAGAAGGGAGATGCTTAACTACACGTGAGTTCGGAATGATAATGTTTATGGGATGGGACGGCGACGAGATTGCCGGATTTCTTGGTCCCCTCTTCTTCGTGCAAGAACTGGTTAGTGATGCACCGACCTTGCAGTTGTTATGTAAGATTTTTGACCTCTTTTGGAAAGTGATGACTTGGCCCYAACAAAATCGGACTATCACAACAGTCGAAGGATTGAGTAATGGTGACCCGAATTGGACAAACGAAGGAAAAGATGCTCAATGAGTGACAATGACGGAAGGGACTCATCGGGACAAACACAGACGCTGCCACAGACTGCCATAATTGAGGTCGAATATTCGGGAATTCCCTCAATTCTAACCACGATAATCACTTTAAAAATACTTTTTTTTACAACAATCCCAGTTTTATGCATGTATCTTAGTTTTTCCGTAAAAAAACTGCTCGGAAAAATGTGTCATCCCTTATAAAAACACACTTTTTTAAATTAAAAATTACCTGTTCTCTGGARTGAGTTTCCTTGAAGTATGAAATATCCTCACCGTTTATGGTAATTTTACCTGTCCCGGGGGAACGAATGGTCACGTGGCCGCGTGCTCTCTTCCTCAAACATTCTAAGAATTGCGTTATTGTAAAAATACATTTCGGTAAAACTCAAATTACCGTAAGTTGTTACAAATGCTCTGCCTTCAGCATCATACTGAGGTTTAGGAGCTTGGTAAGTTTGTTCCTGGGTCATTAAGGGTTTTCGATACTTGAAAATAAAATCTTTAAATCTGTACGAGTATGGTAACATACAAAGTCTCTCCATGGTGGTAGTGAAACTATCATAATCTTTATCCCCAATTGTTTCTACAAGTTCTTTTTCTAAAGAAGGTTTATCTAGCCATTGGTGTCCAGACAAGTCTCTAATTAAAAATAAAAATTAATAGAAATTCATTTCTAGACTTTAACCTACAGTTGTAAAGTAGGATCATATTTGACCCCTTTTCTTATCATGGAATCTTCAAACTTGTAGCAATCATTAATACGCTCAACAATATCCTAAAATTGTGCATTATAAATTTATCTAAAATGTGAATTTCGAAATTACATGCATAAGATTATAATAATTGGCTTTTCCTGTATAAAACAAAAAGTTGTAAGGCCGCCCAGTTTCATCAAATTCTGCAGCTTTCCTCAGAGGAAAAATCTCCTCTGGAGGGCGCATAAAAGGTCTAGCTTTTTTCTCAAATAACCCTGACGGGAATAAGTATTGTATAGCGTTCTAGAACAATACAATAGAAAAAAAAAAAAAAAACACTCAGAAAATATTTGTTTACATTAATGTCTCCCTGTGTGAACGTTTCAGGATCCTCCCCCATCATATTCGCCAAATGCCGCTTTCCAATTTCAAATTCTAAGGTTTGTTGTTTCATAAATTCTTCATGTTCTCTAGCTCTTTCTAAGTATGCTTTCATTGCTTTACTCACAGTTTTTTTAGGCTGTGGTACTGTAGTAGAAGATGTACAAAACTGTTGCGCCTTTTAATACAAAAGTTAATAACAAAATATTAGGTTGTCTTAAAATATAACCTTAATGTTGCATGTAGAAACAATCCTTAAATTGTTCTGAAAATGCAAATGTTTCGTAAGTGGTTCCACAACAGCGTTAATTCGTCGCAACATGMTTTTTAAGTAAATCAAAAAGAAAATTCACATTTAATTCACGACGGTAACCTCAATTTTTTTTCCGACACAATTGCCAACAGCAAAAAAGCAGATCGCAAATAGTCCCTACTTGAATTATTTTCWTGATTTTAGCACGTTTTTGAAACAAAAACTATAATTTAAACAAAAAATAAATTGTTCACCATTTAAACATTTCAAAATTTCTCACTTATTTGGAAAAATAGTGAAAATCTGAAAATTTAAAATTAATTATTCTTTTATTGGAAACATTGATTGTCACAATTAACATAACCTATAATAATCGTATTATTATTGTTATAAACATATTTAATTTTAATGTCTCAAAAGATTTAAGGAAATGAGTTTTTGACGTTGTTTTAATTAATTAAAATGTCTTCTGCGTTGGTTCAAAAGGCTTTGGAAATTGTAGACCCTGATTTTAGGAAACAATCTAAAGGTAAAAACTTTCTGCCTCATGTTTGCATTTATTCGCTTTTTCTTTAAATTTTAGATAAGAAGTGTAAGAATAATGCAAAAGATGTCTTTAGCTTGATACCTGAGAAACTAAAAATTACGAAAAACATTACCAGAAAAGGACGAAAAGGTAATTAGAAGACAAAATTGTATTTATATCATACCTCATTTTATGATTGAATTTTAGAAAAAATTGGTGCATTGGCAACTTCAAAGAAACTAACAGTTATAGAAGCGAAGAAAAATTTTAAAAGCAAAAATGAAATTTTGAAGGAAAATTTGAAAAAGCTCAAAGAAATCGAAAAAGCGTGTACTATCGAACTTGATAGAGAAACTACACAAAAGGTTTCATTCAACCTTTTTTGTTATCTCAAAAGTTGWTTAAAATACATTTTTTCTTTAGATAATTCAAAGGGCAGTCACTGGAAGGCCAGTTAAAGAAAATAAAAAACGCAAGAAGGTCCAAAAAACTGTTTTCACTGAAGAAGACTTTAAGAYATTRGAAGAGGAATACACAGGATAAAACATGGCAGTGTCAAATAAGGTTTATAGTATTACAATGCTGAGTTTGAGTGTCATAGGGATTTTTTATATGCTATTTATGTTAATAATTGTACCAATTTTACCCCTTAATGAAGATATTTTAAGCTCTTTTTCACAAACACCAATTTTGTTAGTGAGTGGAGTTTGTGGACTGATTTTTTGTGGTGGTTTGTCAATTTTCACTATTTTTGTGATGATGAAAGGAAAATGGGGACTGGTATGGTGTAAGCAAAAAATAAAACAGACGTAATAATACATTTTTATTTTTATAAAACTGGAGGATGTTTCCAAGTAAAAAATTGAATAATCACAGAAATCAAATTTATTGGAACATTCAAACACATAAAACGATACACTTAATTATTGATAAGGACTCCGAGAGAGGCTCATACCCCACCACGACCTAAAAATCAAATTCAATCTACCTACCCTTCACAACACGAAACTTACATTTGTCTGCAATGTACTGATCGCTCCGACGTAACAAAAGCCCTCCCTCTACTCCCCCGCGCAATRCTAGTTGATGCCAAAAGCTCCCTACTGAACTTATTATATCCTGTCGGTCCCGTCGGCTGCGCCCCACAAGTCTCTAAAGCCACAAAATCATCCACATGCAACGASGGTGGCCTCGACGTATTCGGCGGCCTTGAACGGAACAAATCCGACCTTTGCTGGATGGTCCTTGGAAAACCTCGCGACCTAACTGGAGTAACTAAAAAACGCACATTGAACTAAAATCTAAACTTTCAAAGCAAAAAATATACTGAAAGGTTTCTTCGTTTTCGTCTTCTGGTCATTATCATGATTCTCCTTTTCGTTGCTATTATCCGAAGGACAGATTCGACACAATTTTTCGATTTCCTTTGCGATATTGAAATCTTGTGGCAAATACTGACGGGCGATTTCGGCTAGGTCACATGACACATTCTCGTTTTCGGATTCGTCATTCGCCATCGACAACCAGTATCTTATTGTCAGTCTTTCGTCACAAACATCRGAATTGCTGAAAATGAGTCGACCGGAAAACTGGATGAGGAGGGTTTCCGGTTCGGGCAAGATCGGTTCGGTTAATGTCTCTTTACTGTCAGGAGAATCCGATTGGAGGAACTTAACCACACCACTCACTCCCTCCAGCATACTCTCGAAGGTGATGTCCTCATCTTTGAGTTTCTTAAACAAAGAAAGTTAATTTTCGCATGAACTACAAACGAAATTTTCCTTACAAACTCATGTATTACCTTGAGAATCTCCTCCAAAGTGAATAAAGGATGCTTTTCCTCCACCTCCTCACTTTTCCACCCCACAAGACCCTTTATTTCTCCTAAACTCATCTTCATTTTCCTCGGTGTGTAAAATAACGTCGCTTCCACTTCCTCTGTCGTCGAACAAACTCGAATCAACTCGACTAAAGTATTCATTGTCGATAAACATTCGGCGTTATTTTTCGAAAAATTCTTCGCCAACTTATTCAAGACGACGCCAAAGAGATCGTTTTTCTTATTCATTTGTTCCCTCATGTGGTAAAAACCGTAGTCGTGCTCTGTCAACAGCAGCAACGTCCTCACGGCTTGTAAATACGTAACAAATGAACTATCAACTTTCAAATAATCCAAAATCATTGAAATGAAGCTCAAAAGATGCTCCTTGACCGGCAGAGCATTCGCGAGGTACATTTCCGAGGTCAAGTCTTTTTCAATTGTATTCTGAAGAAGAGTAATCTCAATGTCGCAAAACACTTGAATAATACTTAAAATACACTCTTGCGCCTGTATATGACTGGTGCTACTATTACTAATTCGCAAGACTTGGCCAAAAATATGGACCAAACCGGGATATTTTTCGTCACTCTTATTCGAGCTGTGGATCAAGTGGAGAACCGCACATTTGAGAGTACTATGAGTGACCAAACATGCCAAGAAGTTCAACAATCGGGTCACATAACTATTACAGATTCCTACTTTACTGTCCTCACTCGGCACCAGCGCCTTATAGACCGAATCTAGAATTCCTCGAGCAATCATAACGGCGGAATTTGCCGCCAAATCGGCCAACTGAACACAAACCCTTCTCAATAAATTCAATAACTGTTGATGCGAAGTCGTGCACAACTTGTTTATAAGTTCTTGGATGATCCCACTGTGAGGGTGTAGATGTGCCGACCACAATTTCCTCAAATTCACAGCCCACGTGACCTCTTCTGGCGATAGCTTGTCTCTGGTTTGGATCGGTAACGGCAGTGGTAACAACTCGGATAATATCAACAGTCCGGGAATAAATGTGTAAGGAGCTGAAGTGACATATTTGATCACTTCCCCACACATCAGAGTCCATAGAGTTTTATTTAACGAATCTTTTTCGTGGATTTGATCCGAAATTGGTTGAGTGTAGACCAGAAGAGTGTCGATGATGACTTTACAGATCTCTTGAGCCTGGTTGTAGGCACCGGAGGTTGTAGGAAATGAATACAGCAAACTGTAAGTCTGTAAGAGAATTGGAACTGCAGTCAAGTCTTTAAAGTTAGTGTTACGGCATTGTATCACGTAGGTCAGCATTTGTTTAAGGAGGTCAACACAAGGAGTGATCACATTGACGATGAGGAAACCTTGAAGAGACACATAAACTGAAGTATGCATGCTTGGCTGTTGGTAGTGATCACAGATTTTCTGCAATAACTTAGTCAGAATCGAAGTACCGTCGAGTGAAAACAATTGAAGAATCACGTGTTTGTACTTAAGCTCGACATAGTTACTCAAGGGATTCTCAGCAAGTATAGGTGAAGTCCCCGAATAGGGGGATATCCCCAAGTAATGTATCACTCTCAAGCTTGTTATCAGCTGACCCGGAAACGCTGTCACGTTATCAATTTGCTTATTAATAATTTCAACAAAATGGGAAATATTATCATAGTTCAAAGTAACGTTTTCAAGTGGATTTAAATACGACTTGATTTCAGTCAACTTCTGACAAATTGAATCATCAAAAATCTCATGCATTTCTACCAACTGAAATATTTGCTTGAAGTAAGTTTCCAAGAATTGTATGTTCGCGACTGCWGTCACAGTAAAGTGAATCAAATCGACYATGTATGCAAGTCCTGGTGATTTCTTAATCTTATTTAACTGATTCTCAGACTTYTCTTTGGTGTGCACTTCCTCCAGAAACTGTAACAAACATTTTATGTTATCCTTCATTCCCAACACTTCTGCGACGCAAATCCGGCCGATGTGAGTGAAAGTCAAGCAGAATAGGCCGTGTAATTGGTCGACAACTTCCACCGAGTCGTAATCTTTCCCSTCAAGGCTTTTCAAACTTTCCACGTAATAAATAACTTCAGTTTTGTACGCCGSCTCTAAACCCAAATTATGAGATTTAATCTCGATGTAATCCTGGTATTGTATATCTTCATCTGTTCTCAAGAGACACCCAAGCAYGGCGTGCACAGTCTGATAATTATCAACTACATATTCCAAACCTTCAGGGGTTTTTAACAGATCAGACAATATCTCAAATATCGGAGTTTTAATCGCCGGTAAATTCAAAGTATTGGGGCACGTCAATAGTAGGAAGAAACACTGAATAATATCAAACATTCGGAAATATTCGACTAGAATGTTCTTAGATTCGGTTCGAATTATTTCGAACTGGGCCGCAACAGGAAGAAACCGTTTCGGTTGTGAAAAAACAAACTGTCCATTCTGTGACGCATTCAAAATTTGTTCCAAACATTTCGTAATCAAAGTTACATCACTTTGGCTGATCTCGGATGGGCAATTACGCATTTCCATGAGAATCGAGTGCATCTTATGAAAAACTTCGTACAAATTGATTTTTTTCAGAGTTGAATTCAAGGCAAATTTCAGACGAACTGAAGGATTCTTGCGTAGTTTCTCCACCAGTGTTTTATAACCATTGTTTTTAGAAACGGTTAATGAGTCATGAAAGCCGTTCTCCCGACAACCGTTGGAACCATCACCCAAAAGGAACTTCTCAATTGCAAATTTGTGCAAGAGATACGTATCCAGTGCTTTAATTATCATAAGTTTGATGGATAAAGCCATATATTCCTGATCGTAAAGATTTAAAAGAACTTCATGAATATTGAAGCCTGATTCCCATAGAATTTTAATAAATTCCCCGCTGTTGCAACACCATTCGGCAAGTCTGACTCCACATTTAATGTGGCGGATTTTGTACACCGGCTGATCTTGAATATTCGCCATTTCYTAACTCAGCGCGATTTTCAACCAATCGAGAAGAGTGCAAGTAATCGAATTAACTTGCTCGARCAATTCCTTATCATCGCGAAAGTCACGTGACTTTATAGCAACATGAATTTTGATTATTTCACAAAAATGCTCAATTGAACCAAACGTGTTAATGAGCTTTTCGCACAAATGTATAAACTCCTCTTTGATTTCAGTGTTAAGTTTCGTGAAATCCTCCAAAACGTATTTAGTAATACTCGACTTGAAATAATCATCAACTATTCCAATCGTCGTCTTCAAATTCTCCTCAACATTTAAACCCCCATTCGTAAAACTAAACGGAGGTGTCTTCTCAAATTTGCGCAAATTCGTGACTCCCGGTATAAACAACTTAATTAAATCGTCATTATTTGTGTACGCCCCGAAATCATAGTCCATTTCTTCGTCAACAATCTCCTCGTCACTCAAAATCGGCTCGAATTCCTCGACATCCATTTGAGCGGTGTCTTCAGTAGGAGGGGTTATAACCTCCTTGGCAGGACTCTTAACTGTGGCTTCGTCCTTGGATTCCTTCTCCCGTCTTTCCTCCTCTTCACTAAAACTGTCAACTTCGGGAGGAGTCGGTTCTTTTCGCTCCCCGTGTGGAGTGTGTGGCCGTTTCGGTGACTGGATTGGCGGCGTCCTCGGCCGTTTCCGCTCCTCTCGCTCCTCCCTATTGTACGCCCTTCGGTAACTCTCGTCGTGTTTATACGATCGGTCTCGGTCTCGGGCCCTGTCACGATCCCAATCCCGATCGTTCCGATCCCAATCCCGTTCCCTACTGACGTCACGACTGTAGTCTCGGGACTGTCTATCTCTGTCGCGGCTACGAGACCTAGGGTAGGTTTTGTCACGGTCTCTGTCTCGCCTTTCCGTCTCGCTGCGGCTGTGGTCGCGCTCAGTACTACCAGTCTTCTAAATAAAAAAATGTCAATTTTACATTTTGGGACCACCCTGGTACTTACCTGATACCCCTCCCTGGTCCGTTCTCTGTCTCTATCCCGTTCCCTCTCTCGTTCATTTTCGCCACTTCTGGGTCTCACCTTCGTGTCCCAGTCTCCCTCAGGTGGGTGATGGTAACTCCTAGGGTCCTTAGGGACGTCGCTGTAATACTCGTTATATTCCTGTGGGTAATTCTCAGATTGATTATAGCCCTGTTGATACGGGGCGGCATTTTGATTATACTCAATTGGGACATTTGTGATATTTTCTTGACTCCACTCATTTTCAATATTATTTCCCGAAATTATCTGCTGGGCGTCTGCTATGGTATTGGGTTGCGTTGGTAGCGCCGGATTAACAACCGGTTGAATAATTTGTTCAGTAATATTATTCGTTAAAGTACCATAAACGGCTAGGGTGATTGTTGTATACCACCCCCTTAAAACCAACCCATCTGTGGGTATTTTTCTGACGGTGTCTTCTGGGACACAATTCAAATTGATGCAACCGTTTTGATTATACTCAAACCCCCCTAAACTCTCAAATGTACTCGCGCCAGGCTTCCCCAAATCATTTACAAAAAATTCGATTTGAAACTGACTGGGGTTAGTAGCCCCAAGCCGGACGCCTCCGGGAAAATCCGCTTGAACCCTAGCCCCCAAAGGGATGATGCGGACTTCAGTGACGTACACGGGTTTGGGAAACTGCACTAGATCCAAGTTTAACTCCTAATTTAAGAAACTCGTAAGCGAGAAAAACAAGGATGAAAATCTTACCTCAGTGTTGTCGTGAGCAAAAGTGTCGAAAAAGAGTAACTCGACCACATCCGACATTTTGGAAAAGTTAGTTTTCCATATTTTTCACGTAAAAATGACCAAAAGACGAATAAAAAATGTGGTTAAACACTCACAACACACTTTTTTTTAGGTTATTGTTGTTGCAGACAGGTGCGCCAACTTAACGTCATTTGAAAATGTAAATATACGAAAAAGTTGTTTATGTGAATTTTGAGCTGTTTTATTAATTATTGTTTGTGTTATCTTTAGTATTTACAATTATTTGCTTGGATTTTTTTAATATTGATTTTTTTTTAATTTGTTTTATAGGTTATGAGATGTCTGGCTAAAAACAACCATCATCATCAACGAATATGTCCAAAGCTTTAGGCACCGCTCTCGTGGGTTAGTTGCACCTTTTCTTGCCTTTGTTTACTTAAATAGTGTAACCTAATTTAAAGGGGGCGGTACGGGCTTCATAGGAAGTCACTTATGTAAGACTTTAAAGTCTCAAGGGTATGGCGTTACTGTCATTTCCCGAATGCCGGGTCCCCAACGTATGACCTGGAACGACTTGAACCGTGTCGGACTTCCCGAAGGAACAACAGCTGTGATTAATTTAGCTGGACAAAATGTCCTAGACATGAAACAACGCTGGAACGCCGGCTTTAAACAAAACGTCTTCAACTCGAGAATCAACACGACTTTATCCCTGGCCAAGGCAATATCAAACGCACAAAATAAACCCTCAGTTTTTGTGACTATATCAGGAGTTGGGATCTACAAACCTGATAAAGTCAGAGAATACGATGAAACTAGTGTAGAACCAGAGTTCGATTTTTTCTCACGGCTTTGTCATGAGTGGGAAAAAGCAGCCAAGCTTCCCGCAGGGCCCACGAGGCAAGTGACGATACGTAGCGGCGTTGTTTTGGGGCGAAACGGAGGGATGATCAAACAGCTCTACTTGCCGTTCTTTTGCGGACTGGGGGGCCCAGTAATGCCTGGCGACCAGTACTTGCCCTGGATTCACATTGACGATCTTACCGGACTAATTTTATTTGCACTCAAGAATGGGAAAGTTGACGGGACTCTAAATGGAGTGGCGCCACAAAACATCACAAATAAAGAATTTTCAGACGTACGAATTTTGCTATTTTTGGATAGTGATTTATTGAGATTTTTAGGCTTTTGCGAAGGCTATGAGACGTCCGGCTTTTTTCCCCGTTCCTAAGTTCGTCCTGAATGTTTTACTTAATGAAGAAAGAGCTAATATGTTAACTGAAGGACAAAAAGTTTTGCCAAAGAGAACAATGGCTTTAGGTTTTCAATATAAATACCCCGATATTGCGTCCGCATGTCAACAAGTTGTTACAAAACGTTGAAACTTATTTATTTCTATTTCTTAGATCTAATCGTTACAAAAAATTAAAAAAAAAATCACAATTGAAGTGCTGTTAAGAAATTGTCTCCCAAGACATACAAATAAGTGTTTGAAGCATAAATCCCTAGAATTTCATCATTTCCAGGTAGAGTATAAACTTGTTGCTGGGAGCGTGAGTTTACGTTCATTCCAGTTATTCTATTCCTTAACTGATTGAAATCAATCCTTTTATGTTGGCAATAAATAAAAATATGTTTTTTCGACTCGCAAATAACAGCATAATTCAAGTCAGGAGAGGTCACAAAAAACTTCATTTGCTGTTTCGACGCCTGGAAAATATAATGAGAAAATGTATTTCAAGTCTTCAACTCACCTGAATATAACCCATAGCTAGCAAAGTGCCTTTGTGCACCAATCGAAAATCATTTTCATATGTCGGTTGCCAAATACAAGTATCAACGTCACTTCGAATTCCAATCGCCAACGGCTGATTTGTCTCAAATTCACCTAGGAGGACACTTAGGAGTACTTGGTGTGACCCCAAATTGATTTTATGGGTGACCTCATGCGAATCGCGAGAGATTCGTTCAAATACGGTCAACTTATCGCACTCAAAGTCACACTCTTCCACTTGTTGGCTGTTGAAAGTGGTCCCTGTGGGTGGCACCACCTCGMTATCGCTAGTTCGTGGGGCCAGTCTCTCCGAAACTTCGCTGACCAAAGCCGGATCSGGTTCATACTCGCCAGAATCGGCGCCTTCGAAGACCTGGGGCCACATAAGGCCAGGTTCGCGTTTATGTAAAGTTAGGACGAGAGTGGTTGACTCAGTGGTCCAATTAGTCACGTCAGGGTCTATCGGGTGGTACAATTTTCCTTCCATAAGAGTCGCACTTTCGTATTTGACTGCGATCTGGGTTGATTCGGTATTTACAAGGAGTAAATTTTTCTTGAAATCCGCACAAAGCGGAAGTTTTATGGTTAAATCTTCACCAGTTTGGCTCCACTTGTACTTTTTTTCTTTATTTTCTGGTGGGGCTTTTTTGATTACATTTTCCGAATCCAGGGTGAACTTACAACCATCATCACTGACTACATAAACTGCATCACAAGTGCGTTCAAAGTTTGCATATTGGACGAAACCATTAACCGTTAGTTCCCTCAGAGCTACTTGGTTCCAAGAATCACTTTTTTCCAACGTTATCCAATGCAAAATGGTTGCATTTTTTCCGTTTTCCTCCGTTTGTCTTATACTGGTCAATAATAAATGCAACTCTGGTTTTGACGCCTCTTTAACAACTGCATCTGTTACAATAAATTTCTGATCAGGGCCTGTAACGTCTCCAGAAAAGAGTATTTCCCACGGATCGTCAATGTCTCTGCAACCTCTGTCTAATACATAGAGACAGCCCATCCCATCTGCCACAACAGCAATCTCACTCGAGGCAAATTTCATTGAAACATTGTAATCCCCAGGACTTCTTTCTTTTTGTAGGGGTACCGCCCACAAAGTTGTTTTGTTGAAAGAATTTGACATTGATTCAATATAGTATTTTTCAACGTTTAACTCCATATCAATGAAATAAACTGATTCAAAGTTATCAACTATTTCACCAATTAAATGATTGTGCAGAGCGAAGAGTTTTGTATGGAGCAGCGAATATTGATTTACATCCGGCACTAATCTATCCACTGGCACTTTTAGTTGCTCTGAAATCTTCCTGATCGCGGCCAGAGACAACTTATAGCCGTCAAAATCTGAGTTCAATAAAGATCTATCAGGACGCAGTTCCATTAATTTCGGATAAGACTGCATCGTGTGTGTGTAATTAAGCACTTAATTCAATTAATATATTGCAATTCGACTGTATATAACCTCAAATCGCACTGACAAAACTTTTGTTTTAGAATAATAAATGGGTGTTGTCAGTTCCTGCAGTGCTACCAATCCACTTTTGCGCTCGATTTAGTTCAAATTAATTGAATCTTTTTATTGTAAAAGTAAATTTGAAATCTTAAATAACACATTTTCTAAAACACAATATCTATTCATAATTTATTAAAATATTTTAATTATTATTTTGTTATTTATTATTTTATATCTTTATTTAAATACTTTTTATATATCAGTGTTTTCACTTTGATATATTAAAACTGTTTATTGAAATTGTGGTTTAGTTACTTATTTTATTTATTTTTAATTTTAAAAATTTAGTGAATTTTAATTCAATGTGACTAAAAAATGATTTAAAAAAAAACAATGTTTTTAACTAAATATTGATATTTAGTAGCGATATAGCGGGGATCGTTGATTTATTATCGATAATATACAACATCGATATTTTTTTCGTTAATTTTGCTGTTGAATCAGAATGACAGAAAAATGTAAATATAACCTTACTTTCATAACTAAAAAAATGTGTTTTGCCAAAAATGGACAATTTAGTAGAACAGTGTGAGGAAATTGAAGCCCTAAAATCTATTTATGACGATAACTGGCGACTGGAAGCGGAAACCAATTGTTACAGCATTCAAATTAATCCCAATGTTAAATTATTCATTACCTTGAATGATGATTATCCGTCAAATAAGCCCCCAAATTTCGAGTTATTGGCTCCAACATTACCGCTGGAGCAGAAACAACTAATTTGTGACGAATTTAGCCGCATTTATGAGTAAAAACCTAAAAACATTTAATAATTCTACCATTGTTGTGATATTTTCTTAGAAGTAGCCAGGGAAGCCCTATTCTGTTTCAATGGATAGAAAAGTTGAAGGAGATTGTAGACCAATGTTCAGAGGTTGCAAATGCTTCCCAGCCAGAAGATTTGAACGAAGTGGAAGAGAAGCAAGAAATAAGAAAAGAAACGGTTCTAGAAGTGATACATGGGGATATTATACAAGACAGGAAAAGTGTTTTTCAGGGTCACTTAGCTCGGGTTCACTCGTTACACGAGACAAAGTATTTTATGTTTCCCAGTTTTTATAAATAACTAATTTGATATTGTAGAGAATTTATAAATCATTTACTTGATAATAAGAAAATTGCCCAAGCAACTCATAATGTCTCAGCTTATAGAATACTGACTCCTCAAGGAACAATTCTTCAAGACTGTGATGACGATGGTGAGACACACGCTGGAGGACGCGTTTTACATTTATTACAAATTTTAAATGTGACCAATGTGATGGTCGTTGTTTCTAGATGGTGAATAGAATATTTTTAAATACCGTTATTATCGTTAAATTAAATAATTTAAGGTATGGGGGTATTCAGTTGGGCCCAGATAGATTCAAACATATAAATAATGCGGCAAGACAAGTTTTAGTCCAAGGAGGTGTCTTACCATCATGATTTTTATTGTTAACATTTGATTAAAGAAATAAAGTTATGGATCGTTTAAGCTTTTGAGTTTTTGTGAGCTTGATTGTTTGATTGAACTTATTATTTGTTCATTGACGTGGAGTTGTCTTTCCAGATTCTGTATAGCATCTCTACTTAGTTCTTCATCAGTCGTGTGTATAATTTGCCTGACGTCTTCAGGCAACTCATCAAACAATACGGGTAGATGAGTCTCATACATTTTCTTAAAAATCTCTGCTGTTATTTCATACGTATTYAAGTTTCGCAGGGGTTTTGTTCCAACTATGACTGGAATGCCGGGGGTGTCAATATTGGGGTATCCAAAGCTCCTATAGCGCTTGAAAGCGCCTTGCACTGAGACCCACACTTCATAAATAACTTGACAACAGGTGCATTTGTAGAATTGGTTTGTGGGGATGGTGTCTGCATCAGTTTGCAGAACTGAGTAGTAATCGTATCTACCTCTGTGGATATTRACCATTCGGGCAACGCGGCATACGTCCGTCCGAACTGTCTTCACCAAAGATATAGGGGTGTCGCTTCTACAAGAAATTTAGTTTCGCTTTGAGAAAAGTCAGGAAAAAGACCTGTAAATGTCAATTCTTGTCAAAACGAAGATGAGACTCCCGAAGTGCAGCTTGGAGTAATTGGTAACCGAGCAGATTACTGGTAGAGATTGACCAGCAGCAATTCCGCAAATCGGTAGCCAAACACTCACAGTAACATGTCCGATTGATTTCGTTGTGAAGAAATTGCGTGAAACGTCGACTCTACACTCAAATAGGAGGTGTTTCTCCGTTGATAAGTGTCTCCGAAATTTCACATAAATGAGTTGTGAATGAGTATAAACATCTAATTCGTTATCTAATTTAATCGTAACTTTGGCTACATATCTGGAAAAATCGTGCCCAATTTGCTCCTCTACGTTTTATATTTACTCAATATTCCCGAAATCTCCAAACCAAGTTCCCGGTAAACGTGACGGCCAATAACATTTAAACTTATAAACTTCATTCATTTTGTGCTCGTGAGCGATCTCTCCACCACAAAGTGTGTGGCGCGTGTAATAAAATTGTTGAAAGCCTTTAACATCAGTATCTTCGGTATATATTTTAGGGAACATGATATAAACCGCATCCAATTTCCAACCACAAGTTGCGAATCCTGTTATCTAAAACATGCATTCTGCAGAACTAGCATAAAATTTTTCCAATTTACTTCAATGTAGGCATTCTTAATAACTAGTACTTTAGTTGAAATTATTTCAACTTTGCCTTTTAGCGTATTTTCCACAATACGCCGCTTTAACTTAATTCTGCACTTGACGTCTATTTCACCGGTCATTTTTTTTGTATTTATATTTTCCCGCGTTACTCAGTAAGTGTTCAGAGAGTTAAAAAATAAAAATAACTAGTTTTTTTAATATTACTCGTAGCCCCTTCAACACATTTAACAAATCTACCCCCGTTTTTTAAAACTTGCAAATAAAAAGAATCGATCCAGACGTGGCGCCATTCCGTGTTAGTAACGCACTTGAGCACCAGAGGCTTGTGATTTTCTAGGGAGTTTTCACTTCTTATCTTTTACTGCTGTGCTTACTAGTAGTTAGAAGTTACGATCGAAAACACACATGAGATAAATGTTGCGTTGTACAAATTGTTTTATTTATAATTATTTCTAACTTGATAATAAACATTTAATTTTAATTTTTGACTATATTGCAAAACATAAAGTCAATATTTTACATAAAAAGGTATTTCGATTTTCTGCTCAGTCAATTGCAAAATATTTCGATTACGTAATCAATGTCATTTGACTTATTCGAAAGTGTTTATGTTTTTGGTGGAAGAAGCGGAAATGGAGGGTTTACAAGAATCTGAAATGTTGCAATCACCCAACGAAAAGTCGGAAATGTATAGTACATTATCGCAAAGCCATTTAATTGACGCTTCGGATGTTACAAAACGGCGAAGGTAATTTGAGGTTATGTGTTTTTTTCCATAAGTTTTTTTTTTACTTCTAGTTCAAATCGATCGATTAAACGCAAAAAATTTGACGACGAATTGGTTGAATATAGTCTAGGCTTGCCCGGAATAAATACAGTAAAGGTAAGTGCTGGTTCTTATTTACTCTCATTATCATTTGAATTGTAGAGTAACCGAGCACGTACACAGTCTCATTCCGACTTTTCCGTGGCCAGTCCTTCGACTCCTCCAATCGTTACAACTCCCACAGTGAGTCATACACCTGATTTTAAGAGAAAGCCGGCGTCCAAAACTGTGACGAGCAGTTCGCGACGTAACAAAAAGGGGCGCCAGCAGAATCAGTTTGCAACCAAAGATTTGGGCAGGTGGAAGCCAACTGACGATCTCGCATTAATTATTGGAGTTCAACAAACAAACGATTTGCGAACGGTACATTTAGGTACCAAATTTTCTTGCAAATTTACTGTGCAAGAATTACAACAGCGATGGTATGCTTTATTGTATGACCAAGCTGTGTCTCGCGTGGCTGTATCAGCCATGAGAAACTTGCACCCCGACATGATAGCCGCTGTACAGGATAAAGCGCTCTGGAGTCAAGCTGAGGAGCAGATTTTAAGTACTGTAAAATCAGTAAGTTTGTTTTATATTTCGGAAAGTTGTTACATGAGAGTTTTTAGAGCGCCAATCCCACAATTGATGTATTCGCGGAACTACTAGCACAAAACCCAGATGTTTTTTATCCTGGGAGAACAGCAAGTGCCCTATTTAGGCACTGGCAAACTTTGAAAATGTATCATTTGTTGCCTGATCAAGTTTTGGGGCCACTGCCAACTTCAGGTCGTCCCATAATGACTTTTAACGATGCTGAAGATATCATTCAAGATTCTGAGTTGAGTGAACCTCCAGATGAGGCACTTGATAGGGAATTGAGATTACAACAGAGGAAAAATATCAAGCAAATCAGACAGTTGGAAAATGAAGTTGGTAGATGGAATGTGTTGGTTGATAGTGTAACAGGTATCTGTCCTGGAGAGTTAGATGGACAAACACTAGCAGTGTTGAGGGGTAGAATGGTGAGGTACTTAATGAGAAGCAAAGAAATCATCATTGGAAGATGTGCCAAAGGGTATAATGTTGATATCGATCTTAGTTTGGAGGGACCTGCACATAAGGTTTCAAGGCGTCAAGGAACCCTAAGGTATTTTTTTTTGTGTTCTGACAAAATGAAAAAATACTTTTTTCAGATTAAGAAACACAGGTGAATTCTACTTGTCTTCTGAAGGGCGCCGTCCAATTTTCGTAGATGGTCGTCCAATAACAGCTGGAAACAAAGTCAGATTGTATGACAATGCAGTAGTTGAAATTTCTTGCCTAAGGTTCATTTTCTCTGTAAATCACGACTTAATTAGAACCATCCATGATTCATTAAGATATAATGGACCAGCTTAGTTAATTAAACAAGAGATTTACCAAAAAAATATTTATTCTTGAATAAAGTGGTTATTTTAAAAATCCCACATCTTGATTTTTATTTGGATTAATTTGACTTAACGTTTCTAAAAGTGCCTCACTTAGCCGTTGGGCCACTTTTTCACCCATCTGTAAGCAATCCAGTAATGTTTGGGGATGTAAAGAACCTGATCCAATTTGTAGTACTGTGCTAAATTTATTCTTTGAAACTGCTATAACTACAGCCCCCACTGAACATAATTCTTCTGCCACATTTGGGTCAACAATACACTGCTCCCCAATTTTACACACAGTCACCTTAAAACATAGGTTAGCACAAGTTGAAAAATGTATTCAATTTTCTACCATAATGGGGGCTGCTGAAACGTCAAGCTTTTGACAATCGTGTAATTCATCTGAAACTTCCATATCTACGTTATTTCCATCAACTGTAACTGACTTAACCAGTGGTATTCTAGTATCCCAAAGAGCTGCTTTAACAGCTATTGATACAGCATCATATAAGTTACCCCCACACTCCAACAACTTAAAAAAAACACGTTATTTTTTTGTCTCAGGGTGACACAAATACGTACAAGGATGTCTACAAATATTTTCCAGCATTTGCGCCCTTTCAAAATGCACAGTTTAGTTAAATCAAACACTTCAGGTGACCTATAAGCTGCAGCTAAACTGTTTGATATCTCAACGGCTAAATCTTCACCTCCTCGGCCTTCAAAATCAGGAGTTGCATTTGCAGAACTATAAAAGTCGTAAAAGAACAAAAGCGGGTCATTTGTTTGTAAAATACCAGTCAACAAAAAATTCCAATTTTCCCTCTTTAGGTCTTTCTGGATATGGAACATCAACTTCAATTTTGACTGCAACTAGAACGTCTGTGTTAGCTAAACGTAATCTAGCAGAACCAAAGGCATGTGAGACTATGTTAGTTTCAAGTTCTATCGGCCTGTAGTCCTCACGTTCGCGTCCATCAACACGAAAATTCTCCTACAAGTGGTTTTATTATAGAAATTGATGATTTTTTACTATAAGCTTACTTCTACTCCATGCAACACAAACGTTTTCTCAGCTTCACACAATGCCATTATGTGAATTTTTATCTTATACAGCAAACAAGTGTTTTCGTGACTTCGTGGTCAAACATAACCTAAAATCTGGGCATGTGAAAATAGTATAAAATTGTGAGGTTTTGTGATTACACTATTGTGTTGAACCTGTTCATAAATGTTTGATAATTGTGCAGTTTTTGGAAGATTTGCAAAAATAATTAACTCAATAGTACAGTTTAAAATTTTGGCGGGCTGCTCAGGCTACACAACCTAAGAAACGTAATTTTTCTAAATAATAGGATTTTTCTTAGAAATTTTCAAGATTTCTGGTTGGTCACTTGTTCAGTTACTGCGCGTTTTTCCCGGTACTTTTAGGTTGTGTTTGTTTGTGTAAAAACTACTTGTTTACGGAAAATAAGCAAAAATGGATCTTCCATATCGTGCAGAATATGCGAAAAGTGGAAGAGCAAACTGTCGTGGGTGTAAATCACCCATTGGACAAGGCACCCTGCGACTGGCAGTCATGGTCCAGGTAACAAACTTCCAAACATATTTTCTTTGCAAGATTAATATAAAATTTGATATTTAGAAAAAGTTTTCCAGACTCTGGGTTTATTCTATTAATAAATAATATTAATAACATTATCTGGGGGAAAGCAGTATTATACGATTTGTAATAAGATATAAGTAATTTGAAAATATGACTTTCCGAAAAAAAATCCCTTGTTAAAAATCACAAAATTATTAAAAATATTTCTTTATATACACGGTGTACAACCGCATATGTGGTTATAGAAAACGTTGAAAGGATCGCAGATATGGCAGGTGTGCTTTTAAAATTTTTTTACGCTTTTGAAATTAAACGTCTCTTACAAAGAAAATACAAAATCACGTTTTTTAATTAATAAAAATTACATTTTTGTCCCTAAGGAAAGTTGGTGCAATATTTTGGTTTGCAGTTTTGAGAGTAATTCAGTGGTTCAAAAACCCATTTGAGTGATTATTCTTTTGGATCACGCTGTTATGTTAATAAATTGACAATGTTGAAATTTTTAGTCTCCATTTCACGATGGAATGGTGCCAAACTGGTACCATTATAGTTGCTTCTTCAGCAAACAACGTCCGAAATCAGAAGACGAGATTTACCACTTTGAATCTTTACGACTTGAAGACCAAAACAAAATTAAAGAAAAGTTGTGTAAGTTTTAATTCTGACATTATTAAACCCAAAAAATGAACGCTCAATTGTAGCAAATGCGGGATCAGTGGTAGTACCTAATAAGAAAGTTAAAGGTAAGAAAAGAGACGCAGCAGCCATCGCCCAGAACAAAACCGCCCTTAAAGACTTCAAAATAGAATATGCCAAATCTGGTCGAGCTACTTGTAGAGGCTGTGAACAGAAAATACTGAAGGATGAGGTTTTTTCCTATCTTTGTATTTAGTTCCGTGATTTCATAATGCTTTTAGATAAGAATTTCAAAAAAAGATTTTGAAACTGAAGTTGGTAAAAAATATGGAGGACAGGATATGTGGCATCACGTGACATGTTTTGCACAATTAAGGGCTGAATTGGGGTATTTCGAGTCTGCAGACCAACTGCCTGGCTTTAAAACGTTGAAAAAAGACGATCAGGCGGAGTCTAAAAAACAGTTACCGTATGTTTGTCATAATTTACTTTTCTTTTTTTAACAATTTTTTTTAGTGCCATTAAGCAAGAAGACGTTCCCGATATTAAAAAAGTTAAAAAAGAAGAGGATACTGTTGACGGATTTACGGACGAGCAGTCGAAATTGTACAAACAACAAATTGAACTTATCTTTAAATATAGAGATCAGTTGGAGAAAAATCTCAATAAGGAAGAACTTGCTTTGTTGTTGCAACATAACAATCAAGATGTTCCACCAGGCAAGGATAGGGTCGGTTTTATTATAACTTTTTTTTATGTTAATTTAAAGGAAAATATTTAGATTTTAGATTGCCTCGCTGATATTATGACTTTTGGTGCCTTGGAACCGTGCTCCGTTTGTAAGGGAGGACAGTTGGTTTTTGATAAATTTGGTTATATTTGTAAAGGAAACTTAACTGAATATACGAAATGCCACACTCAAGTGAAGGAGCCACCTCGCAAACCGTTCAAAGTCCCCTCAGCTTTGAAGGAACACTCATTTTTGAAAAAGTATAAATACGTGCCTAGAACCCGTGTGGTGAAAAACGCCCCACCCTCCTACTCCATCAAAAAAGAAGAGGGCGAAGAAAGTGCCGAGTAAGTTTCGCCCTCCCCCAAATTTCAAACTTCTTTGACTTGATTTTAAGACCGAAAGTGAAGAGAGAAACACCACCGCTGTACAATATGGAGTTCGTTATTTTGGGACAACCTGCGAGYGGAAAAGAAGAACTGAAACGACAAATTGTGAAGTTGGGCGGTAAAGTTGTCACCAAAATTAGTGGGACTGTGATGGCTGTGTTTGCGTCAGAGGCTGATGTTGAGAAAATGGGGGCTAGAATGAGTATGGTTCAAGAGGAGCGAATCCAGGTGGTTCCCGAGGATTTCGTCGATGAAGCGCCCCAACATAGGGGGAAAATCCCAGAACTGGTCGTTGCGAAAAGTATCTGCGACTGGGGGTCAGATGTAAGTTTCTCAGTTTATACAATAATTTTTATACGCAGTGATTGGTCGTTTTTCAGCCTGCTACTCGCCTCCCACCTGAACCATCCAGCAGCAAATCGAAATCTGGCAGCATGTACACAAAGTCTATGCCAAGCAAAGTGAAGATGACCTTGAAAGGTGGCTCAGCTGTGGATCCAGATTCCGGTCTGGACCACAAAGCCCACGTTTACTCCACCGAGCATAACAAATACTTTGCTGTATTGAGCAAAACGGATATACAAACTAACAAGAACAGTTTCTATAAGCTGCAATTGTTGGAGGCCGACCGCGGTGACAGATACTGGGTGTTCCGGTCGTGGGGCCGCATTGGTACCACCATCGGTGGTAATAAATTGGAAGAGTTTAATCATCTCCATGATGCCTTACTCGAATTTCATAAACAGTATGAGGAAAAAACCGGAAACAGGTGGGAGAGTCGGCACGAATTCCAGAAAGTCCCCGGACTTTTTTGRCCCGTGGATGTCGATTATGGGGAGGATCAAAGTAAGAYTATGGATATAACGGAGTCGGAGTCAACGTTGCCACTTCCTGTWCAAAACTTGATTCGGACGATTTTTGATGTGAAAGCGATGAAAAAACTCATGCTGGAGTTTGAATTAGATACTGAGAAAATGCCATTGGGGAAATTGAGTAAAAAACAGATTTCGAAAGCTTTTGCCGTTCTGACTGAACTGCAACAACTCGTGGAGACAGGCGGAGCCGAGGCGAGATTCGTAGATGCCTCAAATAGATTCTACACTTTCATTCCACACTCTTTTGGAGTGGATAATCCTCCAACTCTGAAAGATTTAGAAACAATTAAGAAGAAAATTGAAATGTTGGATAGTTTGATGGAACTGGAAATTGCATACAACTTGATGAAATCGAGCGGTGCAGATCACACCGTCGACAGTTACTACCAACAGTTGAATACCGAAATTGATGTTGTGAACACTGATAGTGAAGAATACAYAATTATACAAGAGTACGTGAAAAACACTCATGCCGCCACTCACGGGGGCTATTCCCTCGATATCAAAAACATCTTCACTATTAAACGTCAAGGCGAGGACAAGAGATTCAAACCGTTTAAGAAACTGCACAACCACAAATTATTGTGGCACGGTTCCCGTACCACCAACTTTGCTGGGATTTTGTCCCAAGGGTTGCGTATTGCCCCACCGGAGGCTCCCGTTACAGGGTACATGTTCGGTAAAGGTATCTACTTTGCCGACATGGTGTCTAAGTCTGCCAATTACTGTTGTACTTCGCTTCAGAACCCTACTGGGTTGTTYCTGTTGTGTGATGTGGCTTTGGGAAATGTGAGTTRTYYGGTAGYTGTWATACMGACTTTATKTTTTTGTATTTCAGATTTATGAGAGYACCCAAGCTGAGTACGTGGAGAAGTTACCAAAAGGCAAACATAGTACCAAAGGTTTAGGTCGAACTGAGCCTGATCCTAAAGCAACCAAAACCCTTGATGGAATTGAAGTGCCTTTAGGTAAGGGRGTGACCAATAATGAAATACGGTCAGCGTTGCTTTATAACGAGTATATTGTCTACGATGTGGCCCAAGTCAACGTTAAGTATTTGGTTGAAGTTGACTTCAAGTATAAATACTAAAATGTTCTTTCCTATATTTTTAATGTTTACAAGTTTGGTTTACAATAAAGTTAAGTTTAGAATAAACAGTGTTACGGTTAATAAGGATATTTTTAATGATATACCTCCATTTTTTCCTGTTCCTGGTACTAAAATTGTTGACTTATCACCTAAACTGCCACCACCATTGTCATTATCTGAGGCTTTTCCACTACCTCCGTTGCAAAGGTCTTCTTTACATGCCACAAAGTACCACCTGTAAGTTTGGTCTTCCACAATTTCATTCATATGCTCTGGCGTGTCCTCACATCCTCTATATATTGAAACAACTTTACCTTTCGGRTCCTAAATCACATTACTACATTAAATGTTCTAGATCAAGTATGAACRTACTAGTAATTCTTGCCGTTTTGTCGTACAATATTTTTTATTGCAATTTGTTGGAGTTGTTTTCTCAGGTGTATCAACACATGTCATGTCAGTATCTTGCTCACCAATTGAACACGTGTAACATTTTAAAGTTACAGCGGAGTGGTAAAAGGAGGCACAGAGTAACAAAAACAACGCTAACTTCATGACTTAGAACTACAAATACTAGAAATCTTTAGAATGATCTSAAGATAAGGGTTTTGATTAAAACAGTTGATAACAGATAAGAAAAATATTTTACTGTTATCGAGAATATACTGGAGATTAAATAGACCTACCACCTTTTCGAATTACCTACATCTTTTTATAAAACTTATTTTAAAGCAGCCACCATTTCTAAAGTTTCATCAACTTCTCGTTAAGATTCTCTAAACTATTTCGACATGCCTACATATTATGATTTCAGTTAATTCATTTATAAAATCGATGAATTTTGAGAGAGTTTGTTTCTTGGCAAAAAAGAGTTTGGGGCTTGCTTCAAGGATTATCATCTTTGGCCCAAGAATGCAAAAATTTTTGTGTACTATTAATGGATTTTGAAAATTAATGGTAGATGGAATTACAAACCATTATCTTTGAATTCAAATTCAAGTTTGAGAACTGACAGGCTTCTGCGTTTGCGCATTTTTAGCTGTTTTGAAAAATAATAACAGCTAAAGGAGTATAGTTGGTTGCCTAAGATGCGATTATACACATTCAGTATCACAGATGATCTTTTCCAACTTTTCTTTTTTGCTTTTATGTCTTCCAACATATACGTATACGTTCTAGAGTTCTTTTTTTGATTCAGTTCTAGTTATCTGTCAGGATCTTGCGCAATTATATTAGTATTAATGTGTATTTCCACAATCATTTAGAAAAATTGCCTTTTACAGAAAGTTAATTAACACACAAGTTATTTTTAGTATAGTATAAGTAGCTGCTATTTCACAGAGAATAATAGATGAGGCTTATTATAATAATAAATTTTTATTCAAAATTTTATCTTTGTCTTTTTAAATTACTTTTACAGTAAAGTAGCTTTCCTTTTATGTCGACTTTTTACAAATCTATGTATATCTTAAACTGTGAAAAAAATCAAAAGTATTTCTAGGTCAAGTTAGTATTACTTTTATCAGTTTAATCTTTGGATTAGATATCAATACTTGAATTATTTTATATACTTACAGAATTTTTTATAAAATAAATATTCCATCATTTTTCATACCTCGTTTATTATGTCATAACATAGTATAAAGTTCCTGAGTCAAATATAAATGAGTCATATCTAATAATACGCCCACTCTTCTAATTACCTTTTATTAACAAAAATAAAAGAAATGGAACTGAAATCTACTCTACTAGGAATACACCTTTTATTATGGAAAAGTACCCACTAATTTGACTTGTCACCACAAGAAAGTTTTCTATCAAAAGGAAGCAGGTGGATGCATAATAATAAGTACCTGTCAAACTGGATGACCCAGTGGTAAAGTACTGGGCGATAAAAACAAAAAATAAAGTCAAGTTTTATCAAATTATCATCATTAACGTCATAAAAATTAATTAATAAAATATGCACCACATTCGGAAGTTTTTAATATAAAATGCACTTATTATTACTGCATGTATTTGTATATGTTGTTTGATACAGGTAGAACGACTTTACAGAGTGATAATTGTAAAATGTAGGTAGGTACACAAATGAAATTACATCACATCGTTCAGYCACCACAAATGAAATCGAATGCCGGCAAAGTAAAACCTGCGTTTGTTGCTCGTTCAGCTTAGTTTGAGCTGATACTTAACTGTGTTCAGGTCGAAGTTSGAAACTCTCTTCACCATGCCCAACTGTCCAAAATGCGACAAACCTGTTTACTTTGGTAAGTCTACTAAATGTTTACAAAGACAATAAATAATTCTCTCAAATTATTTATTTATTTATTTTCATTAACTGTACATATGTAATTTATTGACGGTTTTTGTACTCAAATTTGATAATAAATATTATTATTTTTGTGAAGAGACTGATGTGAAATTAWTGAAATCTCTTTAGGTATATATTTTTTTCATTCTGTATATTCTCCTTATTTGGGGGTTGTTTTTATTACTAAAACGCCCGTCCAAATTGTTATATTGTTTATTTTCGGCCACCGGTTTGCCCATATGGCTTCATCATTATTATTTTTTAGTTCCACATGCATAAAATTGRCCCTCTTGCAAATACGGGTTCGTGAAAATATCAGTATGTCACCCCGATGTTTGTTTTAGAAATCCGCTATTGTTATTCCAACACTTTCACAATTTTTTGCGTATTTAAGCACTTTAGGAGGAAATTGTATCATGTAAATGTATTATCGCTGTAGGAGTGTTTTCTTAACTCTTTAAATATGTACTTTTATCTTGTTAGTGTTTTTAAAGCGGATTGAAAAAGTGAAACTACAAAATGACATCAGGTTTGTCCTCATCTCTCCTACTTGAAATATTTTTTCATTCGGTTATTGATCACCAAATGAGTAATACTTGACTTTTTACGACGTTTTAAAAGTTGACGTAATAATTTGTATACATAAGAGTGACTTCCTTTTATTCCAACGGTTAATTTTTCGGTTTCACTTTTTCAAAATTTGACTTGAATATCAATGAGACGTACTTGTACTTCCCCAGCTATAAACTGATTTATCGTTGTCACCTTGAAACTTATAACGAATAGATGGTATCAAAATTATCAAAACGGAAATATTTATCTCAAAATTGCCCCAATCGCCAACTTTATTTGCCTTTCGTTTCAAATTGAGTCGCACTTGCTTGCGATAACACATGTTGCAGTAATTAACACATTTCTTCTGCAAATAAAGATAGAATTTTAATTCGTGTTTATGACTGATAATAGTGATAATTCATGTTATCTTTCAGCTGAACGCAAGACTTCCCTGGGGAAGGACTGGCACGCTGCATGTTTGCGTTGCGAGAAATGCAACAAGACTCTAACTCCGGGGTCACATGCAGAACATGAAGGCAAACCCTACTGCAACCAGCCCTGCTATGCAGCCCTTTTCGGCCCCGCAGGCTTCGGACGTGGAGGTGCGGAAAGCTACGTCTACAAATAATCCTTTCTTGGGTCCTGTTAACCCCCAATTCAAAAGTAAAAGGAATTTGTTATTACGAGTATAAAAAACAGTATTTTTTATATTGCAATTATTGTATTTACTAAAAAAGTAATAAAGTATATTTCCATTTATTCTTAWTGGTGTGCTTATTTTGTACCAGTGGAATTTTATTTATTTTGTACTGGAACAATGCGTGTGCAGAAAATTAATTAACTAAAACACCTGATAAACACAAGCGATAAAAAACCATGATAAAATTGCGGACGTGACGGCGAAATTAGGCGAGTCACAAAAATATTTCAGCTTTTTCGTTGAAATTTCATTGGAAATACAAAAAAAAAAAACATTTTTATCACACACCATCATTGTGTACCAATAACTCAAATATTTGAAGTTTTCATCAAATACAATCATTTTTTATTTGACAACTCTAGAAAAATGGAATCAAATCTAAAAATAATTAATTGTATAAACATGAGATAAGAGATATAAAAGTAATGAGTAAAAATAAAGAAATTCTTTGTAACAATTACTTAGATTTTGCAACATAACAATAATAATAACGCTGAGCAAATTCTTGAGATAAAAAGTAAATAAAAGTTTATGTCACTAATACGTGATCATACCGGGTGACTGTAAATGATTGTGATTTTTTAGTTCAAGTTGGTGTTAAATTTAAAATTATAGTTTGGCAAACTTGACTTTCAAATTCGAACGTCAACCTTTTATAGGCGATTGTCATTCATTGCGACGGGCGACTGTTGATTTAGCTGTCACCTGACACATTCTGATATAACAAATTAGAAGAATTACCAATAACTAAGTATTGTCAATACATTTTTTTGTCACAATAAACATTAATACTCACCCGATAATTAAATAATTTAAGTAATATACTCAATTATTTAAAAAAACTTTATTAAAAATAAATTATGCAGAAATTGCACATTGACTCTATTTATTTCTGTTGGAAAAATAATTTTCCAAGTTTTTTGGCTATATGTTATTTGTGGCTTTTATTGGCAAAATTTTTGTCCCTTTACTAAATAATTGTAAAAAAAAACATATACAAGATCATCAGTATCCTTAAATAGATATAAAAAAATTTAAATGTCAAAAAATAAATGTCAAAATTTTTTGACAGATAGAATTTTTTAAACATTTTTTTCATGTTCTTGGTATCTTACCTTACTTGAAAATTTTCTCTGGGGCGCGAGTTCTGGTGCACCTGTAAATTTGTATTTTGAATGGCAACACGGATGCTCATCTGTATAATAAGTTGCATAACATCTAGCCGCATTATCTTTTTCACTAAAATAAAAATAAAAGCATGATTACTAATTACAACCCACAACGAAATGCAATAATTATTATTCATTTTATATGTAACAAAAATAACTCCGACCTGTTTGCAAATCCCAATGATAATCTTTAATTTACTAGTCATTATGCTTACATATTCCGTAATTCCGGTTAATGTTTGATCGTCTCTAAAACTAAATCCGATGCCAATTAAGTCGGATAATTATTATTAGCATTACTGCACTAAAAGAAAATACGAATGAAGGAATTTATTACTGCGTTGAAAACTTAATGAAAAAATGAGTTCAACGTATGCAAAAATTTCTAGACATTTATAGATATTTACAAACGTATAAAAAAATTGGAAAATCTTAAAAGAAATGCTTCTTRAATATTTTCCTGTATAATTAGTTGCCTACTTATAAAACAAAGAGTGCATCGAAAATGTAACAACAAACATAAATAACAAGACAAGAGCACTAGAGCAGCCAATTTTTGTGGAATAAATAAAAAACTTTAGTAAGGAACATAAAAAATGTAAAATTGAGTTAGTCGTTTAATACTAAAAAATATTGTTAAAAAAGTCATTTTAGTCCTGGAGGTCCCCGTGAAATTCTGGTCACGTCCGTGTTTAAAATGTCACGTGTAATACCGACAAAGCGAATGTCTTGTATTCGCAAAAAGTTACTCATTTGGCTAGTTGTTTATTGCTTGTTTAATATTCCAACAAACAATGTAAATATTTGCCTCACGTTTTTCTTAATAATCGCGCCGAAATTTGCGATAGTCAATCTTTCACCACCCCAATAAATATTAATGTTTCAAAAATCGGAACCTATTTATGCAGCCATAAAAACCAATCTCGCAATTAGCATCTATTTAGCAATTCGCGAAGCGCTCGATTCCTTCCGCTCCGGGTTGCAAGTTAAAACACGCGGTCAGTGCCGGAAGAGCGCATTTTCCGGCATACGGCACTGGAATCTTGGCCAAAATGGCATACAAAGAGAAATCGGCCCGGTGTAAACTGGGCGAGTTGGTGGGCGTAAATCTGGCTTCTCCTCGATCGTGAGCCGAGATGACTTAACAAGATACAGCGGGTGGAATTCCTAAAACTCCGTCTCTGTCTGGTGTGCTGGAAGGCGGCTATTGGCGTCTCAAGCTCATTATCTCACCTTCGTCTACCTACCCATTGAGTCTCTGGAACAACTGCCAAACTCGCCCGGCCCGGTCCACTTTACACGGACACGCAGCTCGCGCGATTCTACCTCTTGGACAAATATTTACATACCAGACTAACTACTAGCCTTCATTTGTAATCATCTACGTAGTTAACACCACCCGAAATTACCAAAAAACGACCACGGACGTCTACCTGTCACTGCACTGCACGATTCGCCATTATCCCATCAACTTTGCGCTAAGTACTTACGTCCGAAATTTCGAAAATTTTCACTCTGCTTTGGGAATCGGACGAGGAATGCGTTGTATAAATAATGGAAGTATTTATGTTAATTCGACCACATATTTTCTAGATGTTGTCTATAAGGTAAATTTTCGTGTTTGTGGAATGTTAAAAATAACAAAGATTCTTTTCGAATATTACGTGGTTATAGGATAATAAAAGAGATAAATCCGAAGATCGAACTTGGACGGTAGGAGACCTTGGGCGCTCAAGGAAAAAAAAACAAATTTCTAACAACAATGGAAACAAGTCTAGACGGTGTAAACACTGATCGGAAGCTAAGACTCTTGCTGTGGCTAAAAATGCTATTTCATTCACATATTGTATTTCTTCCAAAAACGAGTACTTATTTTGAAAACTCTCAACATCATTTTATTCCGAACAACAATGTTAAAATTGTAACATGGAAGATAATAAACGACAAGATGTTTTAAAACACAATTTTAGTGCTTTAAGAGGCCTTTATTTCCACTGTTTTTTCTTATACCAACAGTAAACGAAAATTGTATTCAGTTGCAATGAACATTAAACATTAAGTTTTCAATCTTTCTTATGTGTATATGGTAACAGGAAGTTGAAGCGTTTTCAAGTTTTAAAGTATTAAAAATATTTATAGTTATGTGTAAAAGTACTTCTAAGATGACATCAAAATTAATTTCATGCTGACCATTTTTAAGAAATGAGGCGATGAATCATGTTTTTATCTATTGATACAATGATTGTAACAAGAATCTTTTATTCACTGTGTTTTTAACAAGATTATTAAATGGAAATATATCCGAAATATATGTTACACGGAAACCCTCTATGATGAAGTGTTTCCAAAACAGAAAAGAATTTAGTCTGGTATAATCTTTTTCTTCAAACAAAGCAGATTACGGTTCACAAGGTTACAATATTCCTAAGAAGTACATACATAAAATGCTCTATAAAATATTGTAAAAGAAATTAAACAAAACTGTAACAATCTTTTTTTAGTAACTACGTGAAAATTTCAAAAATGTAAATTTACAACATTAGATTGGTACAGGGGGCATATACCTCCTTGACTAACGCGTTTAATCTCACTTTGCACCCCGCGGTGTTCCCATAAACGATTAGAAATACTAATTTGACAATAATAAACACCATTGCAAGGTCGAAAATTATTATATTACCATTAAACATAATAATTTATTACTACATATATGAAATGTGTCAGAATTATGAGTAATAATTGTGAAAAATACAATAATCTTATTCAAAACATTTTTTTCTATCAATTATGAGTATCTCTGATACTTCTGTACCAATATTACTTGTAAACTTGCATTATTACAAAATTATCTCTAAAAAATGATCTCTAATTATCTATAAGCGTGTTGTTTATTTTCGGGTGCTAACACACATTTAGTAGTGCACAATTTGTAAAATTTTAAGTAGAAGAAATCTTAAAGGAAATGGAGCAATCAATCGTGAATCAGCAGTACCTTGTAATTTTAATTTTCTTTTCACATCACCATATTTTGATTAAGAAATAACATAAAATGGGTCTTTGCAATGATTTACTGAATTTCTTTAGATCAATACTATCAGAATGCAGTCAGTATAGAGTCGAGTATTGAGGGTTTAAAACAAATGTGTTTTGTACCTACAGCGGAGTTATAATGCAAACAGAGTTTGTTGGGTTGAGTAAAATATCACTTTTCTAAACATGTTGCTTAACATTTTTTTTTCACTTTGGCGTTTGTCAACTACTTTTACATTTCCTAAAGTGACATTTACCTTTTTTTGCAATTAGTTAGGCCACTGCTCGGGCCACTTAAATAAATACTTGAAATATAATAAACTAATAAAATGTTATTCTTTAAATTTTTATATACCTTCTTTTAAATGACTAAAAGATGCACTTTCTTCCCTGCACCTTTATTCTCTTGCAAATTTATGTTTTTCATAAATACCCACATAATCCTAATGGAACTGCAGGTGTTCCAGCTTATAAATCCACCCCAAATGTTGCTTATTTATAGAAATTCGAAGAAAAAAATTCTGTTAGTATTTCACTGATAAAATTATACCACCTGCACAATCACCAACATTTAAAATTATTTTTATTTTCTTAAAAGATTACATCTGATAAAGAAAAAATAAATACAGGCAATTGCAATATCTATCTGTCCTCGTCAAAGTTTCTAAAAATTACAATCAGTGAATCAGTGATTATTGCATCTTATGGTGTATACGATTAGTCAGTGGCGTAGCCAGAGATATAGAGTTTAGGGGAGTTTACCTATAGAAAAAAAATTTGGGCACTCATTTAAACGTCATAATTGTCATAATTATTTTTATGACAGATGTTTTTAGTGACAGCATCGATATGCCTGCAGTTATAAA